ATGTAAGATCTTGGATGTATAATGCCCAACCATAGTAGATGGATGGAAGGAGCTGCATGTGAAAGAGATAATTAGGATCGACGGGCATGCACCAACAGCTCAGGAGCAACAGGCGCGGAAGCAAAAGGCGAAAGTGGGATATATGAAGAAACTGTTATAGTGTAAGATGTAGGAGAGAAAAATCTAGATGCTTTATGGCAGGTAGTCAACAGATACATAAAGGAGATGAAAGGATACATCATAACAAAAATAACATTTCAGAGTACAAGAAAACCTAGCAAGACACATTTAATTGCACGAACTAAGATTTTTTTCACATAAAAAGATGACAATAGTGGACCAAACAAATATAGTCACAAACTCAAGGAGTAAGGAAATAATACACTTGTGGACAATAAAGAGAAAAAGGAGAAGAGCAACACAAAGCAATGGAAAACGCAACACACGGCTAATTAAAGAGACTAATAAAACGGCATCTCCACAATACTGTCAGTAATCATTCATGAAAAAATATTAAGTTCTAAGCAACATCAAGAAGATGATGATGCTTACAATCAAATATATTTTTTTATGAGATAAACTATGATAATTATTGTATCATACCATTTTCAACAATCGAGTAAAAAAGTAGATTGCATAACTTAAAGGATATTATCAAAATAAAAATTTTAGTAAAAGCAAAAAAGCGAACATATATTTGATAAAATTGTTTGAATGCAATAAAGACTATTAACTGATGTATTTGGTTTCTGCTCCTGTTCCCTAACTTTCCTAGTTTCCCTTGTTGTGGTTGTTCGGTTCCTGCTCCCTGGATGTCCCGGTTCCCTTGCTTTGTTTGTTCGGTTCCTACTCCTGTCCCTTGGCTTTCCTGATCTTTTTGGCAGTTCGGGTGGGGGTTCTCAAATGCCTTTAATGATGTTTTTTCCTCCCCTTTTGGTTGGTTGTAGTGGGCGGCTAAGCATGACTGTTGGCCTCCTTTTCTTTCCTATTTATAGTGATGTTTATGGCAGTTTTAAGAGAGTGTTATGTGATTATTTTTGAAGAAAAAACCTAAGGATTTTCTCTAGCTTGAGAGCTAGTATTCTTCTACCTCCTCTCTTCTAAAAATTCGTCTTGGACTTCTATCTATTTCTTCTCTCCATAGTTTACACCCCATTGTATCCTTCTTCTCAAACTACGAAAAATTGTAAGATATCTTTGAGTCGTATTTGTAGGTGTCCATTTATAATTGATGTAAGAAATGCCACCCCCCACCCCCCTCCCCTTTGGGATGATTTGGGGGGGCCGGCTGTGCTGCTGTCTTTAGTTTGGTTGTTCGGTTTCTGCTCCTACTCCGTAGCTTTCCCGGTTTCCCTTGTTGTGGTTGTTTGGTTCCTGCTCCGTGGCTGTCTTGGATCCCTTGCTTTGGTTGTTCGGTTCCTACTCCTATCCCTTGGCTTTCCCAATCTTTTTGGTTGTTTGGGTGGGGGTTCTCACATGCCTTTAATGATGTTTTTTCCTCCCCTTTTGGTTGGTTTTAGTGGGTGGCTGAGCATGGCTTTTGGCCTCCTTTTCTTTCCTATTTATAATGATGTTTATGGCAGTTTTTAGAGAATGGAAATGTGATAATTTTTGGAGTAAAAACCTAAGGGTTTTCTTAGCTTGCGAGCTAGTATTCTTCTACCTCCTCTCTTCTAAAAATTCGTCTGGGACTTCTATATATTTCTTCTCTCCATAGTTTACACCCCATTGTATCATTCTTCTCAAACTTTGAAAATTTGTAAGGTGTCGTTGGGTCTTATTTAAGTTTGTTTTGTCATGTTTTTTTATTATTGTTGTGATTGTTTAAGTTATTTAGAAAGGAAGCGTTTATTTGCATACCTAGTAGGCTTTCCTATATTTTTTTTCATTGCGTCATTAACTTACACTTAAAATAATGTATTAAAGTAAATTGATGTAATCATCAATAAATGAAAATAAATAATGAAAAATCGGATGAGAGATAGGACTTGAACACTACATATCAGAACGGATAAAGTCAAAAAAACACTAATTTCAAAATATGAAGGCACAAGAAAAGAGAAATGATGGCATTATCAAATTCCCACGCATCCTATGATGCACCGACACGGACACGGCGACACGAACACGACACGACACGGACACGGACACGGACACGGAACACGGAAATTTTTAAAAATATAGAACACGGGTGCGGCGTGGACACGGCATAATAATTTTTTAATATAATATATAGAAATTAAGGTGATATTATAGTAAAAAAGATAAGCAATCAACTGCGACGTAGTAATCTTATGACACATTTTTATTCCAAGGCCAGAAATTTTAAGTAGATGTGCATTCACCCTAGAATAAGATCCTTTGTAGGTGCCACCACAATAATTGACGGTCTGTCGGGGGTGTTGCCCCCTGGCGGAGTTCGACCTGTTTTTAAAGTTTTATTGTAAGAGTAATTTTGAAGTTCTGCTTGTTTTTAAAGTTCGCAAGTTGTTTGTATAGGAAGATACCGAGTGGTACCGAACATGTACCTAGTAGTATCGAGCATGTACCTAGCAGTACCAAGCATGTACCTAGCGGTACTGAGCGGTACCGAGCATGTACCTAGCAGTACAGAGCATGTACCTAGCGGTACCAAGCATATATTGAGCAGTACCGAGCATATACCTAGCGGTGTCCAACACACGTGTCCGATTTTAATTTTAATATTTTAAAATTGCGACACTCCAATATCGTGTCGGACACGTGTACATGCCGTGTCCGACACTGCATACCTCTTTAAGCGGAGTGTCGGTGCATCATAGCACGCATCACAAAAATAAAGGATGGAACAATCAACAATGTATAAAAACCTGAATATGGAAAAGGGTGACCAAAATGGCAATGTCATTGGTAAGGCAAAATAGTGCAAAGGGAAACTCAAAGAGTTATTAGATGCACCAAACTTCAACATAAATTATAACCATCTTCTTCATGCTGAAATACTAAAGAAAATTCAAATGAGGGACAAAATTTCACTAAGCAGTTATGAGATTTAATACGACAACTGGTGGATAGATAATAAGTTCACATGGAAGTGGACAACATATAAGATTGTTTAAAGATAACAATATGTGGTGAATGGTGCTTCTCCGATAAATAATGGACTAAAATACATCAACAACAATGACAAGAGGACGAGATTGCATGAGAAAACATAAAAAATTATTTTAGGATATCCATCATGAGGGAAAAAGCGCTAGATTATAATATTATTATTGGTAGGGGTGTTCAAAATATCCAAAGAACCAAAGAGACGATTCAAATCAGATCAACAAATTTGGCTTAGTCCTCACAAAAGCTTAGAGCCAACCAAATGGGATTCTAAAACTTGGGTAATATAAAACCAAACTAAACTTGATTTAGAAGTTTAAATTCAAAAACATGAAATGGGAAAATGCACAAATGAAGTTTGCAATAGTTTCTAGTTTTAACAAAATTGATAGTGACATCTCATTACTTACAAGAATGAATATAGTAAAAACTCTGATTTTTTTTTTCTTATAACAAAAATAGATCATTTAGATTGCAAAGATTATAAAATCATTCCGAGTATAAGTTTATGTGTCTAGCATTGCTTATTAGTTTTGGACTTTAACATAAAGGAGTGACATCTCGATATGGGATCATTTCCTATCAAAGGGCCATTGTGTAGTACTTAAAGACATGTTAGTGGTTGTTTGTAAGTAGCTGCCTGCTAAAGCTAATGGTGGAGTCAAAGTGATGTAGGACTACAATGCTTAAAGTAATTTGATAAGAACTTGCACGACTTATTGATTAGAATAATAAAGACTAGAACTACTAGCAAATAAAATGACAAAATAAAACGTAAGAGCGGTCACTTCCGTTTAGGCTAAGTTGCACAAATAAAAGCTTTTGACGGCCACGCCTCTGATATACTTATCATGCTCTAATGTCCCCATCACAAAGGTGCTTCAAGAGTAATGGAAGGAATGGTGGCTTTTCAAGTAGAATTGGAGGAGCCGACAGTTAGAATTATTGCAGCTGTAATGTTGCTTTCTTTGGGATTGTATAAGGAGGCCTTATTTGGTCTTTAATCTTGGTCATTGGATGCTAGACCATATGGGTCTAAGTTGAGTCATGGTGCTTCTTACTAGTCCATGGCAATTGATGTGCTCTTTACTCCAAGGGCACAAGTCTATAAGATTGTTATCTCTTGTCAATTCTTTATTGTGAATATGGTGATTAGGGAGTCTAACAACTGTTTTCCTTGCATCTTTTTGGGATCACTCGGATGTTAACCAACCTTTTTGGTTGTTTAATATTTGGCATCCCCATCAACCTGGTTTGATCAAGGAGATAATGTTGAATCCCAAAATCAATATGAGAATTGCATATTGGTGGTAAAGAAGATAAGACATTGGAAGGAGATAATGATTTTTTCTTACTTATGATTGTGGACATTGGTTGTGCCACGCTTTATCTTCCTTGCATTTTCTTTTTCATTTGTGATTCCTCTCTTTATTTTTTGTAAATAGAGGATTAGTCTCTTGCTTTGTTTGTATTCTTGTTCTTGTTGTTTTCGCTCCTTTTTACAGCTTATAAAATGCGTCATGCAATTCTTAAAAAAAAACTGTAAGTACCAATATTGGAATATAAGAATCCTTGGTTCCATCAAAGATATAACTAGATCTATTATTCTATATAAGATATAACTGATTAGACCAAAATTTTGAGTAGAGGGAATATTTTCCTCCCTGTGATAACGAATAGTTAAAAAAGAGAGAAATGCTTCCCAACATTCCTATCCAATGAAGATTGAACTGATTGGTGTTACCTACTTGCCTTTCTATCTACTTGAGACACTAGATGTCAATCAAAATCCTACCATCCCAGATTTGAGCAAAATTATTCATATGCATGTGTCAGATGATGAAAAGAAGATAATATTAAGGCAGGTCACATGCATATAACAAATGGCAAACAGTATACAAAGAGCTTACAGGATCATTTCCTGAAATGCTGCCTAGTCGAGATTGCGCATTAGCAAGAAGCAAAATTATATGTTCTCGTTGGTTCGAGACATTGTCTTTCTGCACCAAAGTTGAAGAAACATGGAATAAGCTGCTAAAAACAATTCGTTCAAAAAAAAAGCAATTATAAGTTCAACGGTGCTATATAACAAATATATATCATTGCATGTATGTGTTGGCATGTATGAGCAATTGTGACTGAGTGCATGTTTGTCCTTGCATTTGAATCATATAACTAGCACCATAACAATATCACCACAAAGCAACAATGGGAAAGCGCTATCTGTCATTAACAAAAGTTCAAAAATAACAAAAAAGGCTTATCAACATAGTAATACATGCATTTTTGCAAAATATAGGCCCATTCTACTCCATCAATGAGAAAGATCTTCCAAAGTTTTTCGTTGATAACAAAGATGCTAGCCAAACAATCAAGACAGATTGAGAACAACTGTTAAGCAAAATTTCATTAACAAGAAAAGGCACTTGGGAATGGGTATGTTAATATTATTAAAGATGATAATGAAAGAGCAATTGCTAGCATAAGAATTAGTTTTTGAGGATACCCAGAGCATTCAGTTAGAATGATTATATCAAAGATCACCAGTGAGTTAGTATTTGACTATTTGTTATAATGACTAAGAAGAAACTTTAAAAAGTGTAAAAAATTGGGGACCTTAGCTAAATCTGTTTGTAGATAACATAATTTTGCAGATAAGACTTCTTCTAAGTTATATAACTGTTAATAAATGTTTTAAGAACAGGACTTCAGATTCATAGAACCTAGACGAAAACTATTTAAGAGGATGTAAAATTAATACTTATTTTCAGTATTATTGGATACTCAAGCAACACGTCAGCATAAATTCTCAAAAACCTTCGATTTGATATAAAAATCAATAAGAATATTAAACAAAAAAAATTTTGGGTTACAATCCAACAACTAAACTGCATGAGTTTATAAAGAGAACATGTAATAAGAGAATATTATGAAAAATAGAAGCATTATAAAAGTGTCATTAGATCGACTATTTGATGCATGCATTATTTCAGTTATTTTCGTTTTATTGTAATTTGAATATTATAATGTTTATTTAGTTTTTTTTATGCTATCCTATGATGAAAAACATCCAATGATCATGAGTAGGATGTGCATGGGCATGACAAACCTTGAGTGTGCTAGCTTCTTGGGTTCGTTCGTCTTTGGGTTGCTTGTTGCCTCTCGGGTTGGGCTTTGGATGCTCTCGGGTTGGGCCTTGGCTGCTTTAGTTGTGAGCTGAAAATTTGAGAGCTACTTGATTCTAGCTCATTATTACTTGAGTTGACGTTTAGCACATTATTTGGAAGAGTAATTGCACTATTTAGTTCATTAATATGAAAAGGTTCTCTTCCTTTTAGCTCATTACGTGGATTTGGAACTTGCCACTTCCCCTTCTTTGTGCCCCCTCAGTTTCCTACTAGTTTTTTTTTTCCCGTGGCTGGTTCTCCTCCCTTTGTTGGGTGCTAGTTCTGATCCCCTGTGTTGTCTTTTCCGTTTCTTCCCTGGTTGCCTTCCCGTGGCTGCTTTGCCCGATTTTTGTGCTGCATTTTTCAGGTGTTGTTATGTTTTGTCTGCTGGCCTTCCTCTTCCCCTTACTTGATTGGTTCGGTTGGAGGTGGAAATTGGCTGTTTGGCTCCCATTTCTCCCTTATAAATTAGAGATGTATTTGTCATGAGGAGGTTATTAATTATCTTGAGAAAAATCTCTAAAAACTTGAGGGTTTCTTCTCCTTTCTTGGAAAAGCTTGAGAGCATGTTCCAATTATCTCTTCCTCCGCTCAATTTCGTCTTGGCTGCTAATCTCTTCTTCTCTACACAAGTTCCACTCCACTTGTATCCTTCTTCTTGAGCTATTGAAGGTGTTTGTTGGCAGAATTTGGTGACATTTGCTGGAAGAGTTTGATTGGACGTTGGACCTTGTTGTTGTGGTGGACCCTTGGTTTGCAAGCCCTAAGCACTTATCATATTTTACTTACTTTTCATTGCATGTGAGGAAACCGCTTGCCGGTTGTTCTGAGGATAGCGTTTTTATTTTATAATTTTGTTTCGTTTGTTCTACTTTTCGTTTGTTTTGGTGTTTGTTTGGATCTCTGCCATCTAGATTGAATCAAGTTTGATTTCTATTATCCAAGTGTTCTCCTATCTTGACTTTTCTTTCGAGTTTGCTTGCATCAAGTTTTTGTATCAGAGCGAGTTAGCAAATCCTTGGTTGGTGTGAGTCTCTTTCTTACGAAATCTAAAATGGCTAATAATCAAGGGGATTGGTAACAAATGATGCAAAAGCTAGCGGATTTGCAAAATCAAATGAACGAAATGGCTAACACTCTGGCTAACTTAAATGTCAACCATCTTAAAGTACAAACTTCTGAAAGTGAAGAAGAAGTCCCTAGGAACCAAAATAGGCGACAACGAAATTGGGATTATGAAATTAAAATTGATGTTCATAAATTCGAAGGTAAACTTCAACTCGACCAATTCATCGAATGGGTGGAAAAAATGGATTAATTTTTTGAGTGGAAAGAAATACCGGATAATAGGAAAGTTAAATTTGCAAGCTTAAAACTCACTGGGGCATGCACTCACATGGTGGAAGAATTTACAAAAAAATAGACTAAGACGAGGGAAAGAAAAAATTCAAAACTGGGAAAGAATGAAAGAGAAAATGAGAGAAAAATTCTTGCCATGAGATCATGCACGAATAATCTTTCAAGAATTTAATAACTTGCGACAAGGTAATCAATCTGTTGAATAATACACTGAAATGTTTTATAAACTACAATCAAGAAATGACTTAGATGAATCCGAAAAAAGAACTGTCTCAAGGTATATCAACGGTCTAAAATGAACAATCCAAGCTCAACTGAATTTGCACCACGTAATTAAAATTGACGAGGCTTATCATATGCCATTGAAAATTGAAAAGCAATATCAAAGGGGTAACAACAAAATAACTAAAACATATAAGCAACGACAGACTAGAGGGGTTAAAACTCAATCTTCTCAAACTTCTGTGGGAACATCGGGTGTGAAAATTAAATCTTTTGAAACTCAAAATGTGGATAAAGGAAAGAGAATAATGGGGCCTAAACCTCCTGAACAACCAAGACTAATTGGACCATGTTATAAATGTCAGCTTTATGGTCATCTCTCTACGACTTGTAGAAAAAAAAAACCCACCAAGAAACAATAACATTGAAAATGATAAAGAGATAGAAGAAGAGGAAGAAAACAAATCTGAACCTGAAAAATGAAATTGAATTAGAGAAAGTTGATGTAGAGGGCGATGAAGGTGAACAACTATTAATAATCCGAAGAGTTTTAACAACAAAAATTGAAAATGGGGATAGGTGGCTTAGGAGAAACATTTTTAAAATCACTTGCACGGTTGAGGGAAAAATTTGTTCGCTAATGATCGATAGTGAAAGTTCGGGTAATTTTGCTTCACAGCTAATGATTGATAAGCTTAAATTGAAATCCAAACCACTTGTCAAACCTTATAAGATCTCTTGGTTCAAGGAAGGGAGTAAGGTTCCGATAACAAAACAATGTACTGTTAACTTGACAATTGGAAATTCTTTCAAAGATCAAGTTGTTTGCGATGTCGTTCCTCTTGAAGTCTACCATATCTTATAAGGTCGTCCTTCATAATTTAATCACAAAATCATTCACAACGGGGAAAAGAACACCTATACTTTGATTAAAAACAATAAAAAAATTCACTCTTTATCCTCAAAAACATGTGCCTGATCCTTCTGCCAAAAATACCAAAGTTGCCAAAATAAACACTCATGAACTGCTTCTAAACACAAATGATTTGAAACAATCTGAGGTATCTTACTTGGTATTAGGGAAATAATCTGATTCAACTCCTCAAATTCCCAAAGAAAATCAACCTTTAATTGATGAGTTTTCTGATACAACACCTGAAGATTTGCCAATAGGTTTGCCACCAATGAGAGACATTCAGCATCATATTGATTTAATACATATAGCCACTTTGCCTAATATTCCCCATTACAAGATGAGTCCAACTGAACATAATGAACTTTTTAAGCAAGTGACTGAACTATTAGAGAAGGGTTTGATTAAGGAAAGCTTAAGTCCATGTGTTGTGTCTGCTTTACTAACTCATAAAAAAGATGAAATGTGGAGGATGTGTGTGGAGAGTCGAGCTATAAATAAAATTACCATCAAGTATAAATTTATTATTCCTAGGCTGGATGGCATGTTGGGCATGTTAAACGGTGCTAAAATTTTTTCCAAGATTGATTTGAGAAGTGAGTATCACCAAATTAGAATGAGACCTGGAGATGAATGAAAAACTACTTTCAAAACTAAGGAATGATTGTACGAATGGCTTGTTATGCCTTTTGGGCTTACTAATGCTCCGAGCACTTTTATGAGAAATATGAATCATGTTTTGAGACCTTATATTGAAAAAATTATTGTGGTGTATTTCGATGATATTCTGATTTATAGCATTCACCCTTCTGAGCATTTTAATCATGTGAGGTAAATTCTGCAAACGCTAAGAAAGCAAAAGTTGTACATCAATCTTAAAAAATGTTCTTTCATAATTTCAAGTTTAACATTTTTGGGATATATTATGTCCGCTAAGGGAATTAAGGTTGATCCTGTGAAAATAGAGGCAATTCAAAACTGGCCTACTCCTAAAAACATAAGCGAGGTGAGGGCTTTCATAGCTTAGCTTCTTTCTATCGAAGGTTTATTAAAAACTTCAGTTCTCTGATTGCTCCTATCACTGATTGTTTGAAAAAGGAAATATTTAAGTAGACATCTCAAGCTGAACAAACATTTGAAATCATTAAAGCAAAAATGAGTCAAGCTCCCATCCTTAGCTTGCAAAATTTTGATAAAGTTATTAAAGTTGATTGTGATGCTTCTCATGTTGGTATTAGTGTTGTGCTTAGCGAGGAAGGAAAACCTATTACTTACTTTAGTGAAAAGTTGAATGATGCTTGATCCAAATATTCTACTTATGACTTTGAATTTTATGTTATTGTTCAAGCTATGAAATTCTGGAGATGTTACTTAATTCAAAGGGAATTTATTTTAAACACTGACCACGAAGCTTTACGATTTTTTGGCTCTCAAAAAAATCTGAACAAAAGACATGTCAAATGGGTCTCTTTTTTGCAAGAATACTCTTTTCACATTAAACATAAAACTGGTGTGCTAAACAAAGTAGCTTATGCTTTAAGTAGGTCTCATTTGTTGGTAATTGTTTACCCAACTATAACTTCTTTCGATTTTTTAAAAGACACTTATGCGAATGATCCTGATTTTAAGAGTATTTGGGAATCTTATCTTACTTATGGAACTGATCATTCTGCTCAATTTGTTATTCAACAAGGATTTTTGTTTAGGGGTTCTAGACTTTGCATTACAAAAAATTCTTTAAGAGAGCAATTTGTGCAAGAACTTCACAGTGGGGGTTTGGGTGGACATTTTGGGCAAGGGAAAACTATTGTCTTCATAGAAGAAAAATATTTCTAACCTCGTATGAGAAAGCAAATTGCTAAGCTGGTAAAACAATGTAAAATATGTCAAGCTTTTAAGGGAACTTCTCAAAACATTGGTTTGTATACTCCTCTTTCTATTCCAAATAAATCTTAGGAGGATATCTCTATGGATTTTGTTTTGGGGTTGTCTGTTACTACAAAAAAATATGATTCTGTTTTTGTTGTCGTGGACCGATTTAGCAAAATGGCATACTTTATTCCATGCAAAAAAACTTCTGATGCTTCAAATATTGCTGACTTATTTTTTAAATAAATTATTCTTCTTCATGGTATTCCTCGCACATTTACTTCTGATAGGGATGCTAGATTTTTGAATCATTTTTGGAGAACACTTTAGGCAAAATTAGAAACTACTCTTCAGTTTAGTAGTGCATATCATCCACAAGCCGATGGGCAAACTGAAGTTGTCAATCGAAGCTTAGGAAATTTACTGAGATATCTTGCTGGTGAGAAACCATCCCAATGGGATTTAATATTGCTCCAAGCTGAGTTTGCATACAATAATTTTGTCAATCCCTCCACTGGTAAAACTCCATTTGAGATTATTTATGATCAGCCTATACCTCACATTTTAGATAGAAATTGTTTGTCATTGCCTAATAAAGTTAGTGCTGAAGCTTCTGAAGAAAACTGATAAATAGCAAGGGATTTCTACACAATGTTATGTCACATTATTATTAAATGAACAGCTAGCAAGCATTTCTCGAACAATAGTACAATCCTTGAAAACAATCACAAAACCACAAAAAAAGAAACAAACCTGAAATCCAAATACATATTGTAATAAATCAAGCATATCAGGCTTCCTGGCGGCTGGAATAAAAAAATCATCAGGAAGCTTTGGTAAGCCCCTATAGTACTTGAGTGATGACACTGCAGCTTTAACCTGAAGATAGGATCACTATAGAGATGCAATACAAAAACACAACATAATGAGGAAAATTAACAAAGGGAACAAATGGCTCGCCTCAGGAAAAGATGTGATGACATTTGTCAGAGATGGTGCATCCAAAGGAATGATATTATAAGGAACTACATCTTCTGACATTGCGGCATCTGCTTGCATGACTCGTTTCATCTGATAAAAAAGCAAACATATAAAGAATCAAGTTAAGCATATGCAACATAAACTCTTGATAAAATCTTCAATAAAGGATATCAAAACAAACTAAAGAAGTAGGCAGCCATGCTGACTGTCTGGATAATTTGATTATTCACTAAACCACTTTCATTCAAGAAGAATACAAAACCTCTTCAGAGATTAATCTTTCAGCTTGGTCAGGAGATATCTCTCTCGTAAGATCTTCAACAACCGTTCCCAAAACCTTAAGTGTAGCAAATACTTTCTTCCTTTTTAAAGTTTTACGCTCCAACCTGTTTAACAAGCTAAAAAGATTACAAGGAAAGAAAAAAAGAGAATAGAGAGATGTAGCCTATTCTACGCCAGCAATCCCAAAAATAACAAAATTTAACTTTCAAGCTTGATTATTAGCTCAGGATACCTCTTCCTAATAGAATAACATGATTACTAGGCATTCTCCCGCAAAAAAAAAAAAGAATGGGTTTGATTTATGAAATTACAATCATGGAATTAGCCAGATCAGCAAACTCTAGGAACACTTAAACTGCTATCATATTAATAAAGCAAGTATGGACTGTAAAAATAAGAGAATTTGTTTAGAAAATGATGTTGAACTAAATACATGGGAAATTATGCACTGTCAAAATTACACGCCTTTTGAATTAGAGCAATAATAATTACGTTGGTCCCTAGTGATTTAAACAAGTATTAAAACACTAGAGAGATGATTGAAGCTTAGGCCAAACTACAAGTAAGAGTTAGAATCATGAATAATCAATTAAAATCAAGATTAGCATAGCATGGGGGATTTTCAAAGGAAATCCCTAAATTAACAATAAGATTAGGCACTACTTGGATCCACTCACTCAAACTCTTGATGTAGGCTAAACGGACATAGGTTGCAGAACCTTTATGATGCCACAAATTAAAGGAAAGGCTTAGAAAAGCAAAAGACTTAAGAGGAGAAATTCACCTTTATCAAAATTTGGAAACAATCAGTCACTGAGCCGGAGAGAGTTGTTCATCGATAGCGGCGGCGAGGGAAAAGATGATCCTCTCAACGTATTCTTCTACAGTTTGACCGGTTTCCAGGTTGATGTAGAAGAACGGAGACTTGAGGATGTCCACTTGTCCTTGATCATTGTAAATAAATTCGTGATCAAGCTCTAGATCCGCCATACATGGGGGAACAACGGATTTTAATGTACTAGCGCTTCTAGACAGCAAACGGCATCTTTCCGGAGGGCTGGACAGCAAGCGATGGATTTCCGGGCAGCAGGACAGCAAAGAAGGCTTGCTGAAATTCCTGGACAAAAAAGCAGGAATTTCAAAAAAGAGAGGAAAAAACGTAAAGGGAAGCTTGGGAGGTGGAGGCTATGGTTGTTAGGGGTTGGGGGGTGATTGGAGAGTTTAATGGGAGGGATGGGTCAAAGAGGAGGACCACGAACCCAGACGCTTCCTACGGTTGGTGGGTATTACGTCGCCCTCACCTTGGGACTTCACCAAGGTTCTCACAAGAACTCTCTAAACTCTCAATAGAGTACAAGTGCTGAAATTTTCTTAACAATCATCATTACCCTCTCCAAAGAGAAGGGGATATAAATAGCTAATGTTTACTATGAAGAAATAAAAGACACAAATGCCATTGAGTGTAACAAACAACTAATCCCTCAAGTGAGGATAGAAACAAAAAAAAAAACATAAATAATTCAAATACATATAATAACTCAAAAATAGATCGGTGCGATCGTGGTCGTAGATCGTCAGCTTCGTCTCTGGTAAACTCTCCAAGGTCGGATTCTCATCAAAAATAGTATCCAAGTAAACTTGGCAATTAGCAAATGCACTATAGTCAAGAGAAAACCAGAAACAAGTTCCAAATTTACTAGATAAAAGAAGCTTGAGCTTCCACAAAACTTCCAACCACAACAACATTAGGGCTGCAAGCGAACCAAACATTCGACGAGATACTCATTGTTCGGTTCGATTAAAGCTCGTTTGTGATCGTTTAATTAACTAAACAAACAAACTTGAACAATATTTTAAATACTCGATTCTTAAATAAACAAACTTGAACACTAATGTGTTCGGCTCATTTATGTTTGCGAACAACATCATTTGAAGTTCGTGAATAAGCTCGACATTAAGCTCGATTCGTGTTCGATTTTGAACTCGTGAATAAGCTCGATACAAATAATTAATATTTGACTATAGACTTAAGAAATATAAATAATCATTGCCTTTGTTACATAGACAATTGCTTTTATTATAAATGCATTTGTTCATGTTCATGAACGCGTTTGTTTGATAGTTAGAAAAAAATTGTTAAATATGTTCGCAAATAAGCTCGATAAACATTAAACGAACGAACATAAACTGAACATGAACCGAACATGAACACTCATTAATTTAAATGAACCAAACATGAACACAAACAATAAAGCTCGAACAAACATGAACCAAACTTGAACAAGCTGATATTAAATGAACACAAACATGAACACTCACATACTCGGCTCGGCTCGGTTCATTTGCAGCCCTAAACAACATCAAGCCTTTATAACATGATTTGGGGTCAACTACATGAATCATTTTTCTTCATTGTGCCTTGTTAAAAGTTAAATTCTCATTTAAATCTAATAAAGAAAGTTCACTTCTAATATAATCTAACCAAGTCTTTTTAGGTCTACCTCTACCTTTCTTAACATAAGTCAAATCTAATATATCTACTTTCCTAGCCGGGTCATCGGAAGACCGCCGATTTATGTGACCAAACAATCTAAGGCAACTCTCTCTAATCTTATCTTCCTCTGGAGCTACTCCAACCTTTTCACGTATATGCCCATTTTATATCTTGTCTCTAAGAGTAAAGCCACTCATCCACTGTCCACCTGAGCATCCTCATCTCCGCAACACCTAACTTAATATCATGCTTCTCTTTCAATGGCCAACATTTAGCACCATAAAGTATCGCAGGTCTAACCACCATCTTATAGAATTTTCCCTTAAGTTAGAAGGGGACCTTTCTGTCACACAACAAACTCAATGCATTCCTCCACTTCAACATTCAACTTTAATTCTACTAATAATATCTCTATCTATTTCACCATTACTCTGAACAATAGACTCAAGATATCTAAAATGAGTGCTCTTATTAATGACTTGATCACCCAAAGTCACAATCACTCCACAAGAACTATTATTACTAAAATTATACTCCATATATTCAGTTTTAGATCTACTGAAACGAAAGTCTTTAGACTCTAAGGTTAACATCCATAATTCAAGTTTACCTACAACTCCCTCTCTAGTCTTATCAACAAGAAGAATATCATCAGCAAAAAGTATACACCATGGTACAGCCTCTTGCAAATGTCTAGTGAGAACAACCATTACTAAAGCAAAAAAATATGGGCTTAAGGTTGATCCTTGATGTAATCCAACTGAAATAAGAAAATACTTGGTCAAACCATCTTGTGTCTGAACACAAGTAACAGCTCCTGCATACATATCCTTAATGACTTGAATATAAGCATTATTAACCCCTTTCTTCTCTGGAACTCTCCATACCACATCTCTTGGAACTTTATCATATGCTTTCACTAAATCAATAAATATCATATAAAGATCCTCCTTATTCTCTCTATACTTCTCCATCAAACCTCTCAATAAATGTATAGCTTCCATTATTGACCTACCCAGCATGAATCCAAATTGATTTTGTGAAACATTAGTATCACGCCACATCCTATGCTCCATAACTCTCTCCCATAATTTTAAAGTATGACACATCAACTTAATTCCTCTATAATTTGCACAATCTTGTGCATCACTTTTGTTCCTAAAAATATGATTCGACACACTCGTTCTCCAGTCATCTGGCGTCAACTTCCACAAAAGTTCCATCGAAAGAAAAATGATTTGCCACATGCAATCAGAGGACATATTTTTCCCTATAGGTTAGACAGCCCATAACCCAAAACTCAAGACATTCAAGCCAAAAACGTGAGGATTGGCTCAAATTCATTAAATATAACTGTCAATAAGATTTACGTCTTCGCATAGTACAAGCACAAATTAGCCGGTTCATGCTTGCAGCGGAAAGGCCAAGAAATGCTAAATTTGAAACTTTAGAAAACTACTTTGCTTTCTTTTGGTCAAACACTACAAAAGAATACACGTGGCAACAACTATATGTCAATCAATAATGCAATTAAGAAAACAGTGGAATCCAGATATGGAAATTCCAGTTTAATTAACAAAAAATTGAAACCATATATGAATCAAAATCAAGTTGATCCTCTTTATTACTAATTGGCTCCATATTCAAGTTGCCAATATTATATTATTTATTGTAAAGAGTAACCAGAATGAATCACTCGTGCTGTTTTCTAAATTGTGCAGAAAAGAAACCAAAACCTTCCTCAAAGTTAAATAAAAGGTTCTTCTGGTCCATTACTAAGCATCTAGCCAACAAGACCAAAAATCACAGAACAATTCTCTAACTTTTATTGTTTCACACAGTACTGAGCTTAGGTGGCAAGAAAGAAAATTATCAAGAAGCAATGAACTAGGAGAAGATCAAAACAAGAAAAAGCCATTCAGAACTAATCAAAGATGACAAACCATTTGGGTACATAGACTAGGGGTGCAAACGAGTCGAGTCGAGCTCGAGTCAAGGGTTGTTCGAGCCGAGCTCATCTGTCAAATGCCGAGCTCGAGCTCGAGCTCGAACTCGAGTCAAGCTCAAAAGTTGAGCTCGAGCTCGACTCGACAGAGGATAAAAAAGCTCGTCGAGCTCTCGAGCTGGGATTCGAGCTCGAGCTAGCGTGCCCGCGTCCGTCATTGCTCGCGCGTTCGCCTCTGTCGTCCGTCGTCACCAGCTTCCGTCGTTCGTCATCTGCGTCGCTGTCCGCGTCGGCTTCCGTGTCGTTGCTCTCTCAGTCGGTGCAATAGTGTCCTGTGCTAATATTCTCGGTCTTACTTCTCGCTCTTGCTTCTCGCGATGGAGTTGACAAGCTCAGTGCCAATTCTTTCGCTCTGGCATCTACAACGACGACAACATCAACGCCGACTTTGCCACCCTTCGACAGGTAAGCTGCCCACAAGCTTTGGGTGGAGATAGCAACTTGACGCCGCTGAACATACAGAGCCCGAACAAGTTTGCTGCAATAGCAATAGCCCAAACAAGGATCTTTTCTTCAGCGACTTTGCTGCAGCTATGGCGAAGATGGGAGCTATTGCTCCGCTTACAGGAAGCAATGGGGATATTCGTTTGAATTGCAGGAAGGTTAATTGGTGATTGTTATTCTAGCTCAGAACCATAGGGTTCCCAGATCCGACTCGGAGGTCTTCCAACGACGAAGGCATTGGGCCCGCCGCTTAGATCTTGTTGCGGGAGATCTCTGCCGACACCTGCATTGTGTGGTCCCATCCGTTGTCGATGTCCGCGTTACTGCTCGTCATCCTTTTTCCCGCGTCCGCAGCGTTTCCCTGATTTCATATTCCCGCGTCAATTTTTTTTTTCCCGGCGAAACGAGCTGCTCGACGAGCTCTCGAGTCGATCAACTGGTTGTTCGAGCTCGATATAGCGTTCGAGCTCGACTCGCGAGCTCGATAAGTTCGACTCGTCGAGCCTGCTATCGAGTCGAGATCGAGCCGGCTCGCGAGCCGGCTTGACTCGTTGCACCCCTAACATAGACCAATCACATTCAAAAACATTCACAATGTAAAATGATCTTCATAATGATACAACACAACAATCACTACATCATAGAAGCACCAAAAATGTCACATTGCAGCACAATTCAGCAATCACACCAAACTACCAAACCAAGCCATAATTACACTCTAAAAACAGATCCATGAAAGCTATCATCATGAATTCTATGCACTACCCAACACAAAGTATATAATTTTACTGAACCCACTCTCATGCTGTCATTTACAAAGATAGATTATTGACTGTGTTCAACAAGACAATGAGGAAAAGCATTTGATGCTGCAAAGCATATGAAAGTCAAGGAACATACTCTCCAAGGTTACCACTGAAAACACCAGATTCCCTCAACTTCATTTCATCTTCACACAGCTCATCAACTTTGTTTTTCTCTCTATAGCGCTTGTAAAATTCCTGCAGTCGAGCAATATCCTGGCTCCGATCAATAGCACCACCCTCTCGCTTAGCAAGTTTTTGCTGAAATTTATTTGAAACAAAAAATATAAATATATAATTAGTCTGGTTTAGATTCTAAGAAGAAATTGAGAATATTCAGTGAACTACACAATTCTTGATACATTAAATAAAATAAAAAACCTGATATACACAGTTCTTAAAATTTGACAATTAAGCAAGATATACCTTTATAACTGACATTAAACCAGTCTTGAACTGCAAAACACCTCGGCCTTCACTATTAGGGTCCAAATTTTGGGCCAGTGAGTAAGCATGTTCACATACTGCATGACAAGAAAAACAGAAGCACAAAGTCAATATCCACTGTAAAATGAGTGACAAACTTCAAAAGGCTTACTAGTGGTAATTCCAACCACCCGCCATTCTTTGAGATATGTTCCACACTCACAAAATAGTATGACATAGATTTCATGCATAGAAGTGTTAGTAGATTATTGCTTCTTTTAGCAGAATCAGGCTATGTTACTTCGATTATGCTCAGAAAAATAGCCAGACTCAGTTAATTGTTGCATGAAGTGCCACAATTGATCATGAAGTCCACTAAGAAAGATTATATCATATTCTGTAGACCCAACAAGCAGGGATAACTGGAAAGACTATTAGGAAGGCATGGGACTACCTGATGGGGACATCAAAGCATGGAAGGTTTATCAGAGACGTGGCCGCTGATCTACTGCCACGATCGAGTCATTATATTTTTTATTTATTTATGTTGTCATGGTATTTTCTTATTTATGTATTTTCCTATTTTCAGTGTCGTTGTATTTGTTTTATGAGATTTCAAGTTGTACCCTTTTAGTAAAGGATGTCGTATGTAAGCCCCGAGGGCATTTTCGTCTTTTATTTCTTGAGTCTCATGTACTAGGCTATTTATAGCCCCTTGTTTTATTTTTCAAGTAATGAACGATTGATTGAAATTTCTTCCTTGCATGAGGAGAGATGAATCCCTAGAAGAGGTAAGATCGGATCACTCACCAACCTTGGAGACGGCTGGGTTCGTGGTTCTCTTTCATCTTTTGCCTTTCCCCTTCCACCAACACCACCGGACATCAATACATCCAAACTCTCCTCCTTCTCCAAGCCATCGTCTCCGTTCCCACCCGACGCTCCACACTATTCCTCCCCCCCCCCCCCCACACCAACTAGCCGCCAGCCACCTTACCCGATCCCCACTCAACCCACGGCTCAACCACCCCACCTGCCAGATTCCACCCAACCTGTGCTCCCCTCTCTTCCCATCCAAGCCTTGTTTCCTAATTTAGATTGAGTCGAATTTGGATAGATTTGAAATTCAAATTCCATTGATTTGAAATTCAAAATCTTTCTTAATTCAGCAAATCTATTTTGGGAAAGTTCTTAAATTAAGTCCATTTGAATCACAAATTCAAATTGGATTTATTTAAACACTTTCCTAATTCCTAAAAGCCTTAATTAAGTAACCTAAATCATCTCCCCAATCTCCTCCCTCATCATCAAGCCACCGGCCCCCCTACAATAAATCCTAAGGATTTATTTCCTAAACCCCTACCCTCACTTGGAAAGTACTCAAAACCCATCCCCTTAACCTGGCCGAATTTCCCCTTGATGCATTCACCTCTTAAAACTTACCAAAGCTCATTATTCTATTTTGGGAATTAAATCTCTCCCCTTATTCCCCTGCTGGCCGAAATCTCCCAAGGCCCTCACGTTGAATTCCTCCACTAGAACCTCTCCAAACTCCATACAACATTGAGCCCTCTTCCTCCCAAGACTGCAGCCAGAAATTTCAGGCATTGCCTTGCCTCCTCAGCCCTTGGAAGACCTATAATTGTTGTTTTGGAAGACTGAATTGTTGTCCACTAGTTTCCTTCAGCCCAAACTGCCAACCAGCACCTCCTAGAGCCAAAACGGCGACTTCTCGCATGGATGGCTGACCCAGAAACGGAGTACGGACTTGAATACAACGAGGACGGCTTCGTACGCATTCTCCAGTCAACTTTCTTTGACGTTAATCCAATGATCGACCACACCGTTGAAGATTACATAGAGCGTATTCTAGACACTTTGGTGGAAGCAATTAAAGAACAACTTGAAGGCGTTGAGTGGAGGATCACCACCGATCCTTGACAAAAGGTTCTACATTCTCCTTTCAACATATTTCTTGAGTCTAACTTTATCTTGTGTTTGATTGTAATCACGAAGGGCGCTTCCTCCTGCTTCTTCTAAGCTTAGTAAACGTTGGGTTTTAAGTGTACTTCTTTGTTCACTAATTCTCATTGTTAGATTAGGGATTCTTCTTGAAACTACTATTCTGGCATAACGTTGTTTACTAATTTATTTTGAAAGTTTCAAATCTCTGGTTATGTGATTTAGCATAAGCGGGCATGACCCCTTTCTTGTTTTAATTCGTTGTTTTAAATGCTAATAGTTTCTTCATTGTTGTTCTAATCAAAAGTTGTGCAAATTCTAAACAAAATCATAGCATCCTCACGTAGTCCTACAACACTACCGCTATCAAATATCAACTAACTTCAGGATCTATTATGTCCTTTTTTATTATTATTATTCTCACTTGCACTCCCAACTGCTCCTTTAAGTTGGAAAGCAGCGACCATTGGTCAACCAATTGACATAGGCAATATTGGTTGAACGCATAGATTGCTTGCTATGTCCCACCTCTTTGTACTAATTTACTCCCAAATCCAGCTATCATGCTAGCTTCATCACATTTATCAGGGTTTGGTGCCTGTAAAACTAATCAAAAATGCCTAAGAAAAGCTAGACCATATAGATCATAAGGGGCATACAAAAAACACAAAACATGTTGATACTTTAGGAATATATGCCAAGTAAGATGCCTCTAATGCATCAATCAACATTCATCGTAGCTCACCACCGGAAGCCACCATGTCCATTATTGGCATAGGGACTACAAGGCAATTGGCGTGGACCTTTCAAAGTAACATCCAGCTTTCCAAGCTGATTAAACATAACCAAGTTACCACCTAAATACATGTAAATTTTGCACAATTTTTCTGCAATCAAAAATTATAAATCTATTAAGACCCTTCCAACAAACTGGAGCCACATCAAATCAATTTTTTTTTCCAGTTTGGTACCACCTCTACAATTTTTTTTTTCCAACGTTGTTACAAAACTGGCAGCTTCACATCCTTCCCCTCTACAGCCAAACAACCAAACAACAGCCAAAACAGTCGTCCTAAAACTTCCTCAGTTAGCCCAACTTTAACTTATCCATCTTCATGCATTTTGTAAAACCACAGGTTCCACTAAATTATAAGACTTTCAACTTGAATTCAAACAACAAGGGTACTAAACAGATGCCTAACATCTTTCCACTCGTGCTCAATAATACGTAACGATCTTACCCTAATCAGTCAAAAGTGGCAGGAAAATAAGAAGAAACAAGTAAGAGTTTGAAGCTCACATATTCTGGAGACATTGGCGTCCTCCTCTAGTATCTCATCAGCAGCTCTAAGTATCTCATCGATATGCAAGTTGTTTGCCAGAGAAGAAGGAACATTTCCTGCAATGCCACTGACAGGCTGCCCATGTGCTCCCGCCCCAAGCCTTTCCCTCCTCAGAGCGGCTCGTACCAGCCGCTCCCAGTTCGCCTCCGTTCCCATTGCCTTCACCCAAAATTACGGGGATGGTCAAAAAGAATCCCACCAACAAAATTCAAAAACAGACACGAAAATAGTAACCGGGGCTCATCGAACCCTAGAAGCAGAAATCAAATGAGAACGATAAACCAAACGGAGAAGAACTCGATGAAAACAAATGAAGTGGGTCGAGAAGGAAACTCTTACAACGAGAGACAGGGGTCAATACCCTCTCTTCCCTCGCCTTTGAACAGGACGAGATGACTTCGAGCTTAAGGTTTTTCGCCAGAGCAGATGATGCGGGGAAATAAAATTGACTGGCTAGTCTCTATCGGGTTGCTTAAATACTGCAAATGAATCGGAATGGAGGATCCGAAATCCAACTCGTAATCCTTTTGGAATTTATTAACGTAACTTCCTTACGATGCCGCGGGGTTCCTATTTAAGCTCCGGCGTCCCGCGGACTCTCATTGTTTGCTTGAATGTATTAGATTAAATTAAATACAATAGTTGAAATTTAAGCCGTTTATTTAGAAACAAGATAAATTAAAATTATTTATTCGGGGCTTTGGAAATCTTCTCATGCAATTTTTTTTTTCCACAAACCATATCGTCCAAGTAAAATTGAATCTGGATCAAGTTAAATTAATTCATCCATAAGTCTTTAGGGTTTAGGGAGTCGATATTTCAGGATGAGCTCGATCTGACGGCAACTTAATAATTAATCAAAGACAAGTTGCATGGAGTCGATAAAAGTTGTCAAATCGAATTGAACTCGAGTCCAGTCAAATTGACCTGACGAGATTCAATTTTGACCTAACGAGATTCGATTGCATTTTTTTAATTGAATTAATTTTGGCAAAATTGAGTTTGATTGGATCCAAATTAAAGGGTCTATGTGATTGTTGCAAGCAATCCCACCACATTGCCTAGAGTCACCAAGGATCTAAGGGTTTAGTGGCCTCTGATGTTTGGTGAACACTAAATCAATGGGAGTCCACCCATAGGAGATCGGAGATCCTACAAGTACTTTCTACACTCTGATAGAACAACTTTAATACTTGGAGGAGATGATGGAATGTTTTGACCTTGTACAAAAAATGAGGTCAATAATTTGATCGTCTGCCTTCGAAGTATTATACAAAAAGATATTCGTAAAGGCCAGACAAACTTGCTACAAGCTTTTAAATCATTGAAAAGCCATATTAAATGATCCAATCAAAACAACATGGCTTCTATCCAATGATAGTGAAGGATTTAAGTTTTATTTGGGATAGTTGTAATCCGTTATTTTTTCTTTGTTTTCAAGATATTTTTGTACTAAATAGCAGCTTTACAAAGCAGTAAGATAGTCATCCCAAAATGAACTTGGTACTTTGGAAATGAAAGGCTTCATTTCAGACAGTTTTAAGATTTAATGGCCTGGTACTTTGGAAATTCACTAAAATTAATCTAAAAGGCTAAATGCTTTGAATTTTTTTTTTTTTAATGTTTTGAAAACTTAAACATAGGTTCCTTTGATAATTAGGGTCAAAGGAAAATTTTGTTTGGGTTATAAGACTTTGTTTAGAATTTTTAGTAAATCATTACATATCTAGGTCTAGAGAACTTAGAAAAATCTTGAAAAATACGATTTAAATTCAAATGACTTGAAAATTCTATGGAAGGTACTTGAAGTTATTAATGAGATCTAGATTTAAATTCATAGGGTTTTGAGATCTTTTTTTTATATTTTAGTAAACTTGAGTTGTAGGCTAGTTTAGGTTAGTCTTGGTCCTCTTGGACATAAGGAACTTCAATAACTTACTAATAATTCATTAAAAAAAAATTTAACCAAAATACAAAATAATTGAAACAAAACCCAAACACATGAGAAAAAAATTTATTTAAAAAACATGCTCTTAATTTTAGGAGAGAATATGGGAGAGAAAATTTCTCAGATTTTTGAACTTGTTTGGTCGCTCATAATTTAAACCCTAATTATGGGAGCTTTAATTTAATATAGATATATATATATCAGGTCCCGATGTTTAGCTATGCTAGGATTTTTCCTGCCCTAGCCTTTCTCCTCCACCACAGCCTCCTCGTCACCTCCGACGCTTGAATCGGCTTCAGTGAAGTCCCCTTTTCTTTCCCTAGGTGTTTTTCTGTGGTGTTTTGATTATATGCTATACATGATTTTTTCTCATTCGGCTGGCTTTTTTGGTTGATGACGCCTAACAGTTTGAATGATCCCAATTTTTTGAATGAGAAGTCATTTACTCATTCTTTTAGATATGTTTTATCTGGTGCTTCTCCATCATCAAGCTTTCCTAACCTCAAAATCACCTCTCACCATAGGTTACTGTCATTATGAATTTCAAAGGATGAAAATCTTGTGCTTGCTGCCCTCTTTGAGTTCGCTTTGGTTGGGGAAGCAATCAAAAAAAATTCATTCAAACTCAAGCTTATTGGTGATTTCTCGATTACTGTATTCAACCGAAGCATGTGTTTATTAAGCTCGTTAATGACTTGGATTACTGTAGAGTTTTTGTTATTGTTCTCAATTTGTGAACAATTATTTTATGAAATTCTTCAAATGGACTCCTACTGATATTGAAGTTGAGAACCCATCATTCTGATTTAGGTTTCATTTCCCAACCATAGGCCTCACCTATTTTCTCCCCGTACCATTCATTGTCTTAGTTCTCTGTTTGAGCGGCCTCTAAAAATTGATAATGCAACTTATACTAACTCTCTATCGCTTGTGTTCTGATTGAGTTAGATGTCACAAAACATTTTTCTGATAAGGTGTGTGTTGGCCCCAAAAATTTGGGTTACATTCAGTCTATAGTTATGAATGATTTTTCTTCTTATTATTCTTATTGCAAATCATTGGGCCACTCGAAATTTGATTGTAGCATTTTACACCCTCTTCTTATTAATACTCCCACTGTGAACGTTAAAATGGGTGATAAGGCTTTTACTGATGTGCATAAAATTCTGCATGGCAATGTTTGTGTTGATTTATCAGCGCATGAAAATGTCGGTCCAACTGATGCTGGCCATCTGGATAATGGAGCTTTATTTCATCCCTTGACTTTTTGGTTTCATCCCATGTTGTTGTTGAGAAGGATTCTATTGGAATTGTTTCTAGTTCTTATCATGATAATTTGAATGTGGTGAACATTGGTTTGTGTGATGTTAACAAGGTGATGATGAATGATTCTTTTAGTGGTTTATTTATTGCTTCTTATGATTCACCCTTCGTTAGAACAAACTTTGTTGCTGGGGATTTCTAACAAGTGCTTAACAAAATGTTATAAAAGATGAAAATGAGACTTTTATGTGGTATATTAGTAAATATAACAATTTTGATTTTAAATATATATTTTAAATTATTTTAAGTGGTATTTATGTAAAAATCACTTTTTTTAAGATACAAATGTTCATTTAAAGATAATTGCAAAGGCACAAAACTCTTCTAAATTCAAACTTCAACCTTCCAACACATAATATGTTCTATAAATTATATGTTTACTATATCGTATTAACACCTCTTAAGAAAGGGCATCACTTAATTTATAACCGACGACAAACACTAAAATTTTGGCACTAAATAAATACTAAAAGAACTATATTATTGTTGAATAGGTTTTATTTGAGTCTCTTAAATATATTAAAAGGAGTGATGGTTTTACTGCTTAAAGATTTAATCACTGTGTTAGTAGTAATAAATATAAATCACTGGTTATCACATAAGTCATATGTGATAACCAATGGAAGTAAGAGTATATGACATAAAATACACACACCAAAGAGCATCAAAATGTTAAGTAAACTGGACTTTGTTACATTTTTTTCACTAATTCTAAGAGAATTTGGTGTACTCTCCCTTCTACAAAAGTGTTAAGTAAAAATAAATATATCATTAAATAAAAGCAATTTGTACACAGTTTATAAGATCAATACCATATCTTTTTTTACATATAAAACAAAATTTTCATTTTTCATCGAAAAACTGCCCTCATAAAAATGCAACCAAAATTGTTCACCATAATCATTGGTGATGTACATTTTGAAGGGCTATTGCCTTTACATGATCGGATCGCTACTTGAAATTGATCAAAGACTCACCACATCCCTCTTCACCGGCAAATTATTATGCGCGGAGCCAAACGCCGTCCAGAAACCAATCAGGATGCGCCATGTCACCCCCGCTCGGTACCGCGGCTCGGTATCGTGTTCGGTACTGCTGACGTGGTGCATTCTGGTTGGTCTCCGGACGATAAATGACGTTCAGCATCCGCACAGAATAATTTCTCCTCTTCACCATTGTCTTTTGGGCTTCTGAAGCTCCAAATTCATCATCATAGGAACATGAGAAATCCATCCCAAAGGTAAAAAAGCTGCTAAAACCTGCAGAACTATACCCAAAGGCAAGCTTGAATAGTTCTCTGATGACACTCCTAACAAAGAAGCCAATCCAACTCCAAATACACCACTCACTATAGACGACAAACACATAGCTGAAGCAAAGAAGGCAAAGAGAGAACCCTCATAACCCAATGGGCAAAGCCTCGAGAAAAGGACTGTGAAAGGTAATGTCTTAAACTGAGCAAGAGATTCAGCCAGGGAAGAAATGCACAGCACATGCACTTCATTTGAAATACCCATTCTCACATTGATTTGCTTCACTAAAAGTAAATCAGAAATGAATGAAAGAGCATAGAGAACCTGAACCACAGATATGAGCTTCCTCATTGGGATGCTCTTCAAATGTTGGTTATATAAAAGTGTAGTACATAAGACAATAAGCTGACCCACCACTTTCGACAAGCCGATTACAGAGGAGTCAAGGTTCAGGCACTGGGTTTGGAAGCAAAAGAGAGATCCTGAAAGAAGTGGAACAACAGCATTGGAAGCTACAATCCAGAGAAGAGGGTATAGTATACTGGTCTGTGTAATCACAGCCATGAGGGCTGTAAATTGCTTGCTAAGGTTTTCTTTCAAGGAGTTCTGAGGGAGATGAGAGATTTCTTTTGTAGTCAAGGAAATAACTAATTGAATGGTGAGTAGTATTGAAAAGGAGAAGAACATTGGGTTAACTTTGGGGAGTTTTAGAAGAAGGAAGCCACCTAAGAGATTGCCTAGGAGTCCTCCGGCTGCGACGGCCGTAAATGCGAAGGACTGAAGCTCACCTGGGCTGCGGGTTTTGCTGAATTCGGCGACAAGAGCATCACTGACGACTTCTGTGACAGATGCGCCTAGATTGCTAAGCAAGATGCAAGCCATTTGAGTTGGGAATCTTCCTGCATGTGTAGGAACTAAGGCTAGTGTGCACCAGGAAAGAGCCTGCAAGAAGGCTGCAAGATGCACAGAATTATTACAAGACAGACAGGTTATTTAGAAACACAACAAAATGTTAGAACATTTATTGCTGAGATAAATGAAATGTATAATTATATTACTAAAATATTATTTTAATGATTAGTTAATTTGGGGGGTTCCCATTTTAGGATAACTTTCTTAAGCTTTGTTTTTCAAATAATTATCACAATTATATTTAGCCATAACTTTTTACCACTCATTTTATATTTAGATATATTAGAGTATAATAGTTATGAAATATGTTTAATTTTTTCAACAGGAAAAAGTTTATAATATCCACAACAAGTAAAAAATCCAATTTCATAATAATATTTAGGCTTCGTTTGGGACGGCTTTTTTTCTGCTTTTTAAAACAGCTTTCTAATAAAAAAATAAAAATTTTATACTAAAAATTTGCTTTAAGAAACAGTATGAAAGCCGTCCCAAATAAAGACTTATACAATAACTATTATAGATAAGCTGCAGCAACCCCAAGCAAACCATTGGCCAAGTTTGGAATAACTCTCTACTGCACAAACCTTTGGAACTTAATTTATGCGTAACTGGATTTCATCATTCAGGTATATTAGGGATGGGTTTAACTGATTGTATGCTGCCTTATGCTTAACTATTGATTCATTATCTGAATTACAATGACACGATGACGTACAGTTCAACCTTTTCCTTCAAATTTCATACGGAGGGTAAGCCTAATGAGGAAGCTTCTTGCACTAAGGATAGAGTCAACTAGAGAGATATTTCATCGAGAAAGCCATCTAAGATAGTGGATTACTTGCAGGATCAAGCTAAGAAGAAAATTGACTAATGAGACTCAGCTCAAACCTCGATGGTTTCACGGCCATGTCAAAGCTACTTGAAATAGGATGAAACTGACACTAAGAAATCATTTCGAAAACACTACATGATGAGGACATCCGACCGTTGAAAGTTTATCAGAGAAGGAGCCGAAGATCTACGGCTACGATTGGACCACTTTATTTCTGAGCATTTATTTGTATGTGATTTTTATTATGTATTTTTTTCATTTTTACCTTCACTTGAGGGAGCAGGCTTATGTGACCCCAGGGGACACTTCTGTCATTGGATATTTTATTGTAAGTCGTCTATTTATAGACCTCTCCTCCTCTTTGGAGAGGATGATGATTATGAAGAGAAAAAAAAAATTCAGCACTTTCTTTCTAGGTGAGTTGTGATAGTTCTTGTGAGAGCTTGTACGAATCCACTAGGTGAGGGCAAGGCATTTCTTATCAGCCACATGAAGCATCCGGGCTCGCGGTTTATCTCCCCCGCCAACTCTCTTTCCCTTCTTTCCCCTAGCTGCCGGCCCAACTCCTCCCCCTAGCCGCCGGCCTTTCCAAAATTACCCCCTTGGCCGACTTTCACCGTAAACCGCCGGACACCCTTTCCCTCCTAAACCATCGGCTACCCATCCCCTCCTAACCACCGGCCATCCACCTCTTTCCATTGCCTTCAAAATTTCAAACCAAGTAATCAATACTTTCCACCCTTAGCGCAACGTAAATTTGGAAAGTCCTAAATTCATTTTTTAATTCACTTAAATCTGAAACTTCTTTATTAAAAAAAGGATGAGTTATGTTAGGAAAGTTTCCCCAATCATACTAATTTGAATTTTGAATAGAGATTTGCCTTAAATCCCCTGTCCTCAATTAACATCTTAAAATTGGCAACTCCTTTAAATCCTCTAATTAATCCCACCTCCCCTAGCCCTTGCCGCCCTGTCCCTTCTCTCCTTATTTTAGGGTCATTCAAATTCAATTTCCCCCAAATCACTCACCCCACTTAAAGCGAGCATTAAATCCTAATCAATCCCAAATTATTCTTAACTTCGGTTGCATGCCACCTAGACAAGAAATTAATTCCATAATTTTGTTAATTGCTGGAATTAAATTCAGAATTTCCTAATTTTTGTCCATGCTTTATTCTACCCCCAAATCCGAAATTAAATCTCGCATTTCTCTCCCCCATTATGGCCGGCCACCTCCCCACCTTCCCCCTGACCATTATTCCTCCTAACTTGTTCTTCCCTCAAGAAGGAGAACATAAATCCCCTCCCAGGGCTAGCTACACCTCCACCCGCCCCCCTCCTCTACACCTAGTCCTCCACTTAATGATCCCACTAAGCAAGGAATATCAATCCCGTATTTTCCCCTACCCTTACATCATTCCCAAATCCGTAATCCATTATTGACTAAAAGGCTTGAATGATACAAGAGGCAACACCAAACAATCGGCCGGGTTATTCTAGCAATGTTAGAACAAGAACAAAAAATACGAGGATGATAAACCTTATTTCTTACTTTATATCTTTGATTCCTCCTCAATCATGGCATCACGTCATCATGAAGACTTATCCGCATAGCCCACATTAAGAGTATGTGTGAGTGAATCTTTATAGTGACTATTCTAATCGTTAAATTAGGGATTCTATATGAAAGCCTCACATTAACATGGTATGATTTAATTTGATTATTTTGTGATCCTAATGTTATCATGTAATTGATTGCCTGAGCTTAATCACTATCTTGTTGGTCTTAACTTTTAGTTTAAACATGTGAGAAGTTAATGAATTTGTAAAGTTCTACCCATAAGCATGTAATTTCAAATTCACCAACATCACATATGCACGTCATCCTACATCATTTGATATAAGAACATGGTTGCATTTATGTGCTTATTAGGATTACTTTATTTCATGTTTTAGTATCTAAATCGGATCCTACACGCATCAACTTACTTGTTTGTGTCATCATATTACCTTCTTTTTGTTTACATAGTCCTGAGTTACCCCTGAGACATAGGATGGACCCTGAACAAATTCACAGGACCTTAGACCTATTGGAAGGTCAAATGAGCACGATCAATCAACAACTTAGGGAGAATCAAGCTAACATAGCTGAACTCCATCGCCAGACGATGGAACGATTTGACACACTAGATCGAGACAGGAATAACCAAACACCTTACACAAAATCTAGGTCTCCTTCCATGTATGGGGATGACACCATACCAGATGAGAGACACCCCTGTACGGCTGTACCCCTTATCGAGCACCCCAGTACATCTACGACCTTAATAACGACCCTGATATACCTCTATTGAAAAACATTAAGGTCGATGCCCCAACTTTTATTGAGTTAACTCATGTGGAGGAACTGTATCAATGTTGGATGTAAATGAGATCATGATAACCTTCTTAAGGTATGATACATTAAGAGGAGGATCTAACAGCTCTAATACCATCTAGAGTTTATTCTAAATTAGTGTGCATGCATAAACTAAAATAGGTGGAACTGAATCCACCATATTTAAAAGTAGATTTTGGTCATTCGTATGCTCCCCTTATTCCTAATGTAAGCATCAATAATAAATGATTTTATCTATCATAAGTGACATTTAAATAATTCAAAATAGTTGTGCCCAAAAATTTTCCAAGAGAATAATACAAAGAGTTGCCTTCAAAATCAACCTTTTGGCCACATGAAGAGCCAATTTAAACCTCCATCCAAAAGCATAGTAATGTATATTTCTACCAGAACTCTAGCCACATACGATATAGATATATGAGCAATAAAAATCTACTTGCAATGGATACCAAAAATAAAGTCCATATAATACAATGTAAATTGGTTGAAGTAGCATGGTCAAAACTGAGAAAAAGAAATGCAAACAAGAATAACATAAATTTTCTTGGATAAGTCAAAGCAAGGAGACCACTTTAATATATACGTAGGAAAGTTACAAACAGTAGGATCATGGCGAAAAAAGTTTAGAGTAATATGATTCAACAAATAATCTTATAATAATAACGTGAGTGTCAAGAAGCCCAACCAGATTCTCTAGTAAAAAGCAAATTTGAGATAAATGGATGTAATAATGCCCTTGATGAGGACATCAGCGGGAGATTCCGAAACGTTTATCATCGGAAGCATTGGAAATCAAAGGCTACGATTAGGAGCCTGTATTTTTGATTTATTTCATGTATTAGCTTATTTTATTTCATGTTGGATGATTGTACCCTTGCTTATGTTTTGTTTGAGTTGTAGCCCTAAGGTCATTTCAGTCGCTTCTTTTCTTTTATCTTTAAGGCCTATATATATTACCCTTAGTCTTTTATTAAGGTTAATGCTTGATTATTAGAAAATTTCTGATTTCTTTATGAACTTGTGAGTTCTTGAGTAGTGAAGTCCCAAGGTGTGGGCAAAAGTAACACCCACCAGTCGTCGAAAGTGTCCTCGACTTGTGGTTCAAATCCTTTCCCTTGCTACAAGTCGTCGTCCACCTCTTCCCCTTGCTTCAAGCCGCCGGCCTACCCCTGCCCTTACTCCAACCGCCAGCCATCCTCCAGCTCCCCTCCTACCCGTCGACCCCCAGCCCTTCTCCCTCCCTTAGTAGCTGGCCTAGCCCCAAACCCGACCCCCTTCCCCAACCCCAAACCCTAGCCGCCACCCTACCTCCACCTCAACCCTCTTGATGATGATTTCAATCGTCATTATTGCTTGCCAAATTAGCCAGATTGATTTGGGAAAGATTTTATACAAATTTGAAATTCAAAATTGAATTTTAAATACTTTTTTAGATTAACTAAAGCTAAATTAGGAAAGTTTCCATAATTAAAACTAATTTAATTTTAAATTAGATTTGATTTATTTATCCTTTTGCTAAATTAGACTCATGATTTAGGAAGCCTTAAATTCCCCCTTAATCCCCTCCCTTCCTTGTACATGCCCCCCCCCTCTCTCCTCTCTCCACTAGTCCACTTCAATTACCCCCCACTTGAATTTGAAATTCAAATATCAAATTCCAAATCCCCTTTCCTATTTTTTTAAATACCTTACCCTATTGGAAACCCTAACCTTAGTTTCACAATAACAAGCCCCTCCCCTTCCTTGGCCGCCCCTCTCCCTCCCTTCTTCCCTTGGATTTTCTTCTTTCATGAATAATATTCCAAGAGAAGAAGAAGACCTTCGCTTTGCTAGTGAATGGCCGATCCCGAAGTAGACCACGACTTTGCATACGATTCTCAAGGGCAGATAGATATTCTTCAATCGGCGTTCTTCGACCACGACTGGGAGATAGAAGACAGCGTCGACGATTGCGTCGATCATATCCTATTCCACTTAGCTGAGACTATCGACGAACAACTACCGTCCAGACAATGGCAAATCGTCGGACATCCACTCGCACCTCCTCCGATGACAACCTTTATGTGGATCAAGGCATTTGGCATCCTATCTCTTTTGGTGGCATCGTTCGGGTTGCTGAAATCCTCTTTATGCTAAGACCTTTCAAAGAGCGAGAGTGAGGGAAACTCAAAGTAACTTATTTAAATGTTACGTTGTGGATTTAAAATTTACAACATTTACTTTGCTAGTGAATGGCCGATCCCGAAGTAGACCACGGCTTTGCATACGATTCTCAAGGGTAGATAGATATTCTTCAATCGGCGTTCTTCGACCACGACTGGGAGATGGAAGACACCGTCGACGATTGCGTCGATCGTATCTATTCCACTTAGCTAAGACTATCAACGAACAACTACCGTCCAGACAATGGCAAATCGTCGGACATCCACTCCCACCTCCTCCGATGACAACCTTTATGTGGATCAAGGCATTTGGCATCCTATCTCTTTTGGTGGCATCGTTCGGGTTGCTAAAATCCTCTTTCTGCTAAGACCTTTCAAAGAGCGAGAGTGAGGGAAACTCAAAGTAACTTATTTAAATGTTACATTGTGGATTTAAAATTTACAACATTTAAGTTTATGTTTATATTTGACTTTATTTTAAGCTCTAGTGATTCTATGGGGTAGCCGATTGTCATAACAAAATTGATATCCTTAAATTCTCTAAATCCCATCTAGTGAACATTAGTTTATTGTTACTTTGCTTATTTCAAATTGTCTTTATAAATTTCTATCGCAATTCCTACTTTGTTTCACATCAGTCCTATATAGAACTTGCATGCTATAGAGAAAGTGAATGGAGTGTCAAGCTAAAAAATCTTAGATATATTAAAAATAAAAAGTATATTAATCTAAAGAAGTGCAGAGGGTTTGATCCCTGCTAAAATAAAGTGTAATGGGTTGACGAAGCCCATTACTATATTGAATCCATCTACCCTTAACAGCTTAAACGAATGACCATGGAGCACAAACAATAGAAGAAACAAAAGCCATAATCGCTTTGGTAGGAGGAGGAACCGCACGGAAACAATAACCACTAAAATGGACCGTGACAAAGGAATAATCCCATAGGGAAAACAACCTGAGGAATACATGACCAAAATGTTGGCATGGATATCAAGGAATGATTCAAAGCCATGGAATATGAAAAACATGACATCATACATAAGATCTTGAACCAAAATTAAAAAGCTACAAATCATACCAAAATAATAAAAGCATCAGCCTAGGAAGCAAGGTCGAAGATAGATTAGCGTGAGCACACCAATTGGAGGCGGTGATGCCTCGCAATAGAGGTTTTAAGGTGCATGGGTAATAGAGAGGGAGTACTGGCCAAAGGAGACAAGGCATGAGCAACAAAGGAACGCATTGTGGTTGAGTAACATAGGGTATTAAGCATGGTTCATGGGTGCGTGCAAGGCTGGGGTGTGAGCATAGATGCAAGAGGTTAACACATGTGCAATGGCTAGGGACATAAGCAGGGTAGGAGCCCCACGCACACGAGTCTCGAGCTGCAAGGGTGAGATGTAGTGCTTGAGGAAGGGCCTTTGTGCATGTGAGCGGGATGAGTAATAAACTAATGATTATACATTTAAACTTATTAATATACTTGAAAGTAGAATAAGCTATTAAAGTAGCAGTAGCAAGTATGGCTATGACCCTCAAGAGAGAATATCTATTTTATGTGGTTTTTTACATTAATGAATACAAATGTTGTATGATCACTAAGAATATGTGGATTGTCAAGGTGATGAGATCGTTTATGTTGGATAATTGTTAGTTTTGAGTGATCTCAACAGCTGCTCCTCATATTGTGATCTCAATTAGGTGTGTGGAACTAATAAGTGAACACTTAAATTGTTTAAAATACCTTTTTTATCTCTTCTCTACTGACTAAATGGAGTATCCTTCTTGGGCAATACATTGCCCTTGGCTAAGAAGCATTATCTTAGGGCTAGTAGGAATGGGTGCTAGCTCAATGCTTATTTGATCCATCAAACTTAGTTTGGCCACACTTTAGCTTATTCCTTGTTGTTAGTAAATTTTGTTAATTCATTTTTCATTGTGTTTATCTAATTCTCTGCTCCTAACTTATCTCCAGGAGAAAAGTCAAAATTAGTCCTGGCAAATGGATATGACCGAGAGGCAAGATTGGCTTAGGAGTTAGACATTATCTATTTTGGTAGTAGTAAGCCTGCATAGTACGCATGTCTATAATAATATTTGGAGCTCATGTCAACCAACACATCAACTATCACCATATTTAAAACTTCTCACTTTTAATATGTTTTCTTCACTTAAATTATTTTTCTTATTTTTCTCTTAGCTATTCATGTTTTCCCTGATTGGGCTCTCAATAAGCTCTGGGGATGCTTGCCAACCAAGGAGCTTCGGCTTTAAGGTCCCGATATGTGCCTATAAATGAGCACTTTGCATTTATACTACTCAGTACTTAGAAAGCAAGTGGTTGGAACCGAGTGTCGAATTCTCGATGAGGTGTTTTAGCTCAGCACGACCAAGCCCCATTAGCTTAGGTCTTCTCATCAACTTTTGGACAACACCCTCACGGTTCAAATCAACTATATTCAACTATCTATATTTGAACTACAATAGTTTTCATCTTCATCATGATCAATATTTAGCTATAACCTAATTATTTGGGGGTCTGATTTAAATGTCAATATATGAAATATATTATTAGCAATGTTCGAATAGGCAATAAACCAAAATAATTTTTATTGACCGAATATGCTTACTCGTCTATTCTATTATGTGTTCATTAAAAAAATTATAAATCAACAATAACCAAAAGTGGGATGAAATGATTTTTTATAGTCGCCTACTAGTTTAACCAATATCATATTTAAGGTAGTAAAATAACCACTAGTCTTCTACTCAATTTGAAATTTATGGTTCTTAATATGTTAACTGTTTCAAAATCCATGTTGGCTCCTCTGAGCAATTAGAATTCCCTCTTTCAAAGATCCTTCACCATCTTTATTTTTGCATATTTCCCACCACATCAAAGTTAAACATAGACTACCGAGTACCGATAACATTAGCAAGTGTTCTCTGGAAAGTTTTTAGAACGCACCACAAGTTTGTACATTTAGGTTTCGTTTGGGACGGCTTTTTTATTGCTTTCTAAAATGGAGTTTTAGTACAAAATTAAAAAAAATTGTACTAAAACTCCGTTTTAGAAAGCAATAAAAAAGCTGTCCCAAACAAAGCCTTAAACTTGTATTCAACTCTAAATTCATACACTTAAATTAAATTAAAGCTAAATTCACTTTCACAGCAGACAAAGAAGAAATACATCACAGAGAGTTCTAAAGTCAAAGTTACTGATTTTTCACATCAAAAACAAAATCAGAAAGAAATATATTTATCCTTTCTAACTTCTCTTTTCAGATCCAAGCAATCAATATTTCAATGAAAAATAGAATAAATCATCACAAAGAAAGGAAACAAATTATAGGTTATTTGTACAGAACTCCATTTATCTGATTTATTGGTAAAAGTGCACAATTTTTTTAAGTTTTGCAAATAAGGACAACAATTTGGCCTATTTCCAAACAAGCACAACAAATTATAACTGAACCCATTCATCATTTAAAAGTTTTAATGTAACAGGTATCATCTATCATCAAGTTACTCGAAATCAAGCTACAAGAAATTTGAGGTATGCGAATCACACATGACATCTTCTAAACATAGAACCTATTGCATGATAAATAACATTTTTTACATTATGAAATGAATGATATATCACAAAATTCTTATGTATTAACATATCTAATATCTAAATATTTATATTTATTTATATAACATTCAAATCTCTAAATTACATGAAAATCATATTAACAACTTATTTAAATAAAACACACCTCATGCATATATTTTGATATAATTTAGATACTAAAGTGCTATATAAATAAATATAAAAATTTAAATATTAGATATATATATATATCTAAGAATTTTGTGGTATGTATGTATCCCCCATTACATAAATATAGCTATTTTTGAATATAAATATAATTCAAAATAAATTTCAAGCTTAATAATCATCTTCACGCTGACTGAAAAACACACACACACACAAAAAACATCAAAAGTTAAGAAAAAACAAAGCAAAAAGAATCCACCTCCAATGGAAATATATGGAAGCCGGCGACCCCCACCAATGTACACAGCATCAGAAATGAACCCAAAGAGAGGCTTCGCCACCATTGGCAAATTCCCAGTGCTCTGAACGAGCTGCAGCATCGAAGGGCTCAATCCAAGTCCATTACTCATGTAGAAATTGAGCGCCAGCCATGGAAAGCATCTGAATCCTTGAACCCAATACCCAAAACCACACAATGACCACATCTGAAGCCCGATTTCTCCATGGCTTATTTCTCTTCTACCTCCTCCAACCCTCTTGGCAGGGGAATGAATAACACCGGCCTTTAGCAAGTGTGTTTTCCTCAAAGGCATCCACTTTCGTTTTCCATTGCTGGAATTGTAAGAGATGGGAAGATCTAGATGAAGATAACCAGAGAAAAGCTTCGTTTGATTGAGGTTTGTCAAGGGGTTGAGAGAAACTGTCATGGGTTTAGAGGGGCAAGCCATTGATGCTTGTTACTGATTTAGGGCTTAGAATAAGAAGATTGGACTTCTACTGGAAGACAAAAAGATGTTTCCAGAATCAAAGTGGAGAGAGGACGGTTGGGAGGATTTTGGCGGAATTTTTTTTTTTTAATTTCACCGCCTATATATAAATATAATTTTTAAATCTATTATCGCTTAAATTTATTTTTTAAAAATTATATTATAATATAATGGCATAAAAATTTTAAATAATTTAAATTTATATTAAAATTAGTATAATTTAATATATCACATACAACATTAATTTTTATGATGAATTCAAAATTTAAAAATTCATCTTAACAAATTTTTTCACTCAATTAACATTAAGTCATTAACTAATTAAAATTTTATTTCAAAAGAACTGTTTTTTTTTTTAAAAAAATTATAAAAAGAGTGCTAAATTATAAAATATATTAAGTAAATTTAATGTCTTGATGATATGACTTTTTTAGACCTCTAAACCAAGAAATCTTTCGCATAAGTTCTAACTTCTCAAAAAAAAAAAAGGAAATTAATTGTCCCTTATAGGGCAACAAATAAAAAAAGTAACTTTAATAATAATAAAATAGATTTCATTGAAAGAATAAATAAAAGTAAAAAAGAGAATAGAAGGTTCTATATTGGATAAATTACTTTTCATCATATTTATTATTATTTTTTTATGTGATACTTGAATCTCCAAATAGATCATATAAGGATTGGTTTGGGACAATTTTTCTCTTGCTTCTTAAAGTATTTTTTTAGTACAAAAATAAGAAGTGATTTTCTAGCACAAAAATTTTATTTTTTGCACTAGAAAGTCGCTTTAAGAAGTAGTATAAGAGCCATCCCAAACGAAGCCTAAGTTTATATTTAAGAGGTGCGAGAAATTTCTATTTTTATAGCAATATTTTGATGCAGATTTTTTATCTCAGGCATTCAAAAGCTCATTTAAATTTTTATTTGTGTTAAGCATGAAAATATTGAATATAATGTGTTATATGAGACACATACATTTAATGAAAGGCTAGCTATGCTTTAGATTAGTGATGACATATGCAAACCTTGCACAAGAGGGTGAGCTAACACACTTTTTTTAACAAGTGATTATGACTTTGTTTGGGACGGCTTTCTTACTGTTTAAAGAAGCAATAAAAAAACTGTCCCAAATAAAATCTACATGTAAAATTGGTGGAATTATAAGGAGGCATAAAATTGGATTGCTACTAATATTAGCTGATGGGCTCAATGTGACAACTTCAATTATATGGCCATGCAATGAAAATGAATAATGATATTGATACTACAATGATACATAAAAGCATCATATGAAATTATATAATTTGCATGTGCATGGCTTGCATTTATATGAAATAAGAACAAATGATCTCCATCTACTATTTACAATATATGATATAATTGTAATAATGTAATATGATATAATCTCTATTATCTGATATGACATACCATAAATAATGTACTATGAGACAAAAAAGTATTTTATATATGTAGAAGTAAATATTATTATTGTAATTCTATCATTTATGCGAGGCATGCATATTACTTTCCATTCAATGAAGTTGAAAGTTTTTGATCTATTAGGTTTATTGCTCACTTATGTACGTGTTTTAGTTTCAAGAAATGACAAGACTCCAACAAAAGGATTGCTTTCAATGGTTGCACTTCGGTGGATTGTAGATATCAACTTTTGTAATCATGATAGATTTCTTTTATTTTTTTTTTGAAAATTTGTGCGTAGTATTTTATAAACTTAAAAACTAGGAAACAAAACATAAAAGCTAAAAGACAAGCAAAGTAAAAACTAATCATCTCTTTACAAAATGAGAGAGAGAGAGAGAGAGAGAGAGAGAGAGAGATGAATCGCTACTGAAAAAGAAACAACAAATACTAAAAATCATGGTGCAAACAATGAGAAATAACATAACTATGGAAAAGTCGCTATCTTTTTTTAAAAAACTTCCATTCTTTTACCTTTAATATGTGATTCTCATATTTAATTTGGGACTCTATCATTATCTTTTTTATCATCTTGAGGAGATGGGGACGCCAAATTTTAGAAAAGAACCTAAAAAGTTGGTTAATGTCCCAATGGTCCCAAAAAAATGCGAGGAAAATATTAATTATACTCCCTAATACAAATACTTGAATCACCATATTAAAAGTAAAGAAAAGAACTTGAGCAATTTGAATGTAGATTCTAGCAACCAACGAACTGAAATGAACTCTCAGAAGATTCAACAAGTCCTCCTTAGCCAATCCCGAAAAAAAATAGCCCAACAAGTGCAATAGCTCCAAGCTCAGCTGTTACAGTCACTTAAACCTCCTTTTCCTTCCAATTAGATCCATCTGGTCTAGCTTCCACTGAGATGAAATCAATCGTAGGAAGACTCGACATGTCCTCCTTAGCCAATCCGGAAGAAAGCACATGTAAGAACTTTCCAACTTGAGAATTTTGATTGAATATTCTATCATCCAAAGAATTTAATTGAATTCTTGGAAGATCAAACAAGTCCTCCTCAGCCAATCCCGAAGAAAGCAACCTAATAGTTGTAAAAACTCCAAGCTCAGCAGCTGCAATCACTAGAACCTTCTATTCCTTAGAATTAGACCCATCCGATCTAGCTTCCAATGAAATGAAATCAATTCTAGGAAGAACCAACATGTCTCCCTTAGCATCTCTCAAAGATCCACCTCACATACCTTGGATATATGATGATATCTCCTCCCAGATCAAACCATCAACACCTTATGAAGGATTAAAAACCTCCATAAATCATCCAATATACATCCCTCCTAAAGCAGCTAAATCACGACAATGAACATCCAATACCAAAATACTATTATCACTAAGATACAATGCACTAAAAATATTTTAAAAACCCATCTTAGTCACTATGCTAACACTTCCAATAGTTGTACCTTCAACACCCAGAGCCTCATTCTCTTTAACATGGCTATCCACCCCAATTACACCGGAAGAGAAAACTTCCCCATCAGATGTACCAGTATCTTAGGCAACCCCAAGAAAATATACCAACTCCAACACCTGAATGATTAATTTCAAAACCTGCCCCTTGTAGCATTTAACAGAACACCTTTAGGGTGAATCGACTGTAGAAAAAAACAAAATCCAATAGTAACAAAAATTTCACAATATTCCTAGTTCTGAAATCCAAATTTTCATTTGAATATTCCATCTCATGGTAAAAAAAATACACATGACAAAAGAAACAAACTCAACACCGATGATAATAAGATGATGTTCTTCACAACATCCTCCCATATAAACTAATCCACCACTTCGAAATAGCTCAAAAGAATCAATAATAACTGAAATAACCATGCAAAGAACATTCTACCCAGCATGAAAGAAATGCTTTTATAATCTGCATGCAGCATCACAATGAATTTACATCTCTGTAGATATCACTGCAACTCCATGGAGATACGATCTCATATAGGATCACAAAAGATTAATGTCCATCGTGGTCCGGATCCTCAAAGAAGTTCTTCCAAACCAAAATCCTTTTTGGAAAAATAGTAATGAAGGAGATTGATTTTTGATGAACAATATATTTATTTAACATAACAACAAACTTCCATGACACAGGCCATAATAATATCTATCACAACCATCTTTAACACCAAAGGATCCACCGTAAACACACTTATTCTTTCATGAAGATAACCCATCCTGAAAAAAGAAAGACTCCAAATACGACCAACTACCACCACATAACCAACCAATTCGGACTTTCCACCGACCACCACCCGAACAACCTAGCTTCTCCCCTAATAACTCGAAAGACTCCAATTTTCTTTATCCTTTAGAGGGAAATTTATTGCATTTTTTGTTGAGACATGGTAATTTACATTCTCATTATTAATATGTCCTCTCCATTGCAATCATTATGTAGAGATTTGTCCAACACGTTATGCATGGGAGGTCATAATGAAGTAGCAAATTTGGATTTTAATTTTGAGTAGGAAATGATTCCATTTTTTTAATAGACAAACTAAGTAATATTCATACAATGAGCACAATTCTTCATTGAATCTTCACTCTCTAGCACTCTGACTCCACTATTCTCTATATAGAATAGGAACACTCCCCTCTCTTTATTTGAACTCTCAAAATCTCATTCAGGTGTCTCTATAACTTAATATCAAATACAATAAAGATATTGGAAAACATTAATTACAAAGTATGAACCTGACTAGGTCATTGAATTTGATATTGGAAATAATGCTTCAGTTGAGAGGACATGGTGTTCATTTCAATGTTGATTTTATGAATGGCTAAAGCCATGATAAATTTGAAACACTTGGCAACAATCTTCTACGTTATGGATCATTTAGAACTAGATCTTCTTTCTCAAATCTTTTCTGTCGCAGTGTTTTTTTTTTTTGAAAGATTTCTCTTAATAGCAAGTTAATCTTCTTAGGGTTTTTCTCGACAACATTGTAAATATTTGAGTCTCTTTTTCAACTTTTAAGTCCTCTCGATTTGACCTCCACACAATTTCTTATGCCATTGATCTCCTCATCCAATGTTTTCTAAACTCATCGTATATTAGGAGTTTATATATATATATATATATATATATGATTATTATTATTATTATTAATGATATTATTTTGACATCAATATTTAATAAATTCCCCAACAAGAATAGCGCAATTCATACATAGACTATTTATAACAATAAGAGAAGACCACACAAATGCTATATAAGAAGAAGAAAATGAGACTTTATTGCCATTCTTCTAAGCCTGTCTCCCATAATGTAGACATCAATCTCCCCACATTTCTTCTGCATCTAAATGGATACCACATCAAAGGACAATTACATTATTTGCCCATCAATAACAAAAAGTTATCCTATCCTCCTAATATTCTAAATTTCCTATGATGATGAAATACTCATCAACATCATAATACAAATATTTCTTAAAATAACATAACATACAAATTTGATGAAAAAAATCATATTAGAATATCCTTATAAAAATGTATATTATGATAGAAAGGCTATTATTCAAAATAAGGAGACATTTGGTATAAATTGTTGATTTTTAAATAGAAATATAAAATAGCTCTAAAAAGTATTTTTTAGTAAGATAAAATTTGTAAGTTTTGTTGTTCATATTAATGCTTCATTTCAGGCAGTTTTCTTACTGCTTCTTAAAGCATCTTTTTAGTACTTTAAGAAGTTGTAAGAAAGCTGCCCCAAAACGAAACCTAAATGTCTCCTTATTTTGAATGCATTTTAAATAAGGATATCCTGATATTAAATTTTTTCTTTCAAATTTGATCTTTTATCCTCATGCTGTCCATTTCACCGATAAAGGGCTCCTCACCCTGTGGTCTTTCTCCCCTTTGTGCACCCAAATGATCTCCCCTTCAATGTACCCCTCCCTCTTCTCCTTTCTCCTCGACACAAACCAGACTCTATAACTCCTCTTTTCATTGATCTCTCCAAAGCTCAATCTCTTAGGCTCCACTCTCACCCTCACTCCATTTGGTTGCCTCACTTTTACAAAATAAGTTGAATTGTTCTTCCCCACATTCATAGCTGTTCTTCTTGTCAAAATCACATTTTGTCCCTTATTGAACTCCACAGAAATTGAAGGATAGTTCAAATTGAACAATTTGTTCTTCTTCATTGTGTCATGGCAATCCACAATCCTAAATAAATTGAATAAAAATCAATTAGAAATAAATAAATAATTTAAATTTTTTTAAGAATTGAAAAAACTTTATTTTTATTTGATTTATTTATTTTCTATGTAAAATAGTGACTGTAAAATAAATAATTAAATATTATTTTAGTATTTATCTTAATTTCTTTCGCTTACCTGTGTGTAATAGCAAACATCTCTGACTTGGTATACCCATGAGAGCATAGATGAATTACGTAGTCTTCCGGTTCAATATCGTAAACCAGTCCCGGATTCATAGCCTTGCTCGGATTAATATGGCCAGCTCCCATCGCGAAAAAACCGGCCGGCTCGACGCCATCCATTATCGGTTTTCCATACCGGTCCAACACATCGGCCGTCGTCATGATAGCTGATCGGACCGCCGCCGGGCTCCAGCCCGGATGCGCGGCCCGAACCAACGCCGCAATCCCGCTCACGTGCGGGCAAGCCATAGAAGTCCCCGACAAAATGCTGAAATTCGAACGCCTGTGATCCTCGGAAAGGCCCGATGGGCCGAGGTTTTCGGGCCAAGCGGCGATGATGTTAACACCCGGGGCGATGATATCGGGCTTTAGAACAGAGGGGATGGTTAGGCTCGGGCCCCGTGAGGAGAAGAGGGCGACGGAGGGGGCTCGTGATTTGCCGGTGGTGGCTGTGGCGGCGAAGATGATGCGAGCTTTGGGGGATTTAGTGGAGTTGATGAAGGATTTGAGTTCGAGGGATTGGGCGAAGCCGATGAGAGTAGAGGGGAGAACGTGGGCGTCGAGAGAGTCCTCTTGTTGGTTGATTTCGGAGTTTGCGAGAATCATGGCGGCGCCGCCAGCTTCTTTGACGGCTTCGCCTTTCTCAGCTCGACCGTTGACTCCACGGTCGCAAACGACTATTTTGCCTTTGACTTTGGACTTTGAAAGCGAGCCCCTGTTTTATGCATGAAGTATTTTTTAAGGTTAAGAATATAAATTTATATTCATTTATGAAAAAATTGTACTTTATTCAAAATTAACTCAAAATATGATTCAAAATAAGTTTTTATTTAAAAAATATATTAAGTATAATATATCATTTATGCAATATATAAATTAATCTTAATAAATATTTGTACAAATTAAACATTTTCTTATTGTCGAAAATGCTCAAATTTAGTGAAGTTTATTTATTTATTTTCAAATTTGTACCTGAAACAGAACTCAGCTCCCCTGTTCCCGCGATTGTCGTAAACCAGCTCGAGCTCCGGCACCTTCCCGCCAATTTTTGAAAATCCGATAACGGACTCCCCGTAAAGAAGACGACCGTTAGCCAACCGGACAACGGCTGGGAACCTTCGGTCCATCGTGCCGGCGCCGACCGTCGTAATCCACGGTGCTTCATTTGCGACAGAGCTAGCAACGGGCCCATTATTCCCGCCGGCGCAAACTACGGCGATGCCTCGCTCAACGGCTCGAAAGCTGCCAATAGCAATGCTATCCTCAAACAGTGGCAGAGGGAATCCTCCAAGTGAGAGAGAAAGCACATCGACTCCGTCGCGAACGGCGTCGTCCATTCCGGCGAGGATGTCGGAGCTATAACATCCGTTAAACCAGCACACCTTGTAAACGGCGATGTGGGCCCCGGGAGCCATGCCGGTCGCCTGACCAATGCCGGCGCCTAGCACACTGGCTCCGATGACAGCTGCGCCGGCGGCTGTGGAGGAAGTGTGGGTCCCGTGGCCGTGGGCGTCGCGGGGGGAGACGTATTCTAAGGCGGCGGTGCCGGCTTCCGGAGCATTGGCGCGGTGGCCCTTGGAGTAAAATTTGGCTCCGATGAGCTTGCGGTTGCAATTTGTAGAGTTAAAGTTCTCGCCGATTTGGCAAGAGCCTTTCCATCTGGAAGGGACTGGCGGCATGCCGCGGTCAGAAAAGCTGGGACTTTCCGGCCAAACGCCAGTGTCGAGAATGCCGATGATGGCACCCCGGCCGAAGTTAGAGCGAGGCCAGGCCCCGGGGGATTCGGCGGTGCCGGCAAGTCCGAGGAATTTGTAGGAGTATGTGGTGTGGAGTTGGAGGCGGCGGTCAGGACGGACGGCAATTACTTCCGGGCAGGCCCGGAGAGTGTCGGCTTCTTCGGGGGAAAGAAGGGCCGCGAAGCCGATGAGGGCGGTGTGGTAGGAGTAGAGTAGGCGGGAGGAGGAGGGCAGCAAAGAGAGGTGCCATTGGTGGTGGTTTGAGGTTATTTGAGTCTTGGGATGGAGTTGGATGATGTAGGTTTGGAGGTCTTGAGATTGCAACAGAGGAAACAAGAAGGAGAAAAAGGAGAAGAGGATGAAGAAGGAGAAGCGCTTGACATGTTCCATTGGCTGGTCGTGGTGGATCAGGAGAAGGAAAGGCGAGGTTTTTTAAGGGAGGAGAGAGCGGGAGAGGCATTTGCAGAGTGGGAGAGGAAACTCGTGAGCAGGAGCTTCTGTATTTTCTGAGAGCTGAGAGGTCTCACGGGATATTTTGGTTGGATTTATTACAGCGCTTGCTCTGTTCCAGCTTCAAATGTGGGTGTTTGAATCAGAAAGAGAGAGAGAGAGAGAGTACCGAATTTAATGCCAGCGCTGAGATTTTTGAACTCTGTGGATTCAACTTGTGAAGTTGGAAGGGTGTGAGACGCAAAGGGATTCTTGAGGAGAGGACGAATTGAATGGCAGGAGATTCTGCAATTAATTGCTTCTTCAGTTTACTGGTGTTAATGGAAGGCTTGCGTTGGGAACTTGGAGAGTAGAGAAAGAGGAGAGGTGATTCTATGAGCCTCGGTTAGGAATTTTTTTCTGAGTTCAGGCTTGAAAAATATTAAATTAATTGTGTAAGAAGTGCATATAAATTTATATTAAATAAGAACAGCCCTTTATATATTTGTACGCACTTTTGTACCTATGATTTTCATATGTATTGACCTTTTTTTTATAAAATGTATTGACAATTGCGTCTGTATATTGCTAGTGTCTAAAGTCAATGCGTATAAATATATCATATATATAGGAGGAGAAATTAATCTGTACATATATTAGACGGTCTGGATGAAGACAACATACATTTAAGAGTTAGAAACAATACAAAAGAAGAAGAAGAAGAGTAAATGGCTCGGAATCATTCATCCTCGTTGATTCAGCAGTGTAGTTAATACAATATATAAAGTAGTAGAGGGAGCAGACCCTGCACAAGCTGCTCGAGGCCGATATTAGCAGACTGACAACACAGAGGAAAGTGCTTCCTTAACTAAGCTATGATAGGCGGAACATGATAAGCATACTAGACTAGTGGTATACTCTAATAGTCTCCCTCAAACTCAACATTTGAGGAGCAAATGGTGAGTTTGTCCCGTAGCATAGAAAATCGAAGACGAGACAATAGTTTTGTGAGTATATATGCTATTTGATCCTAGGAATTAATATGAAAAATGGAGATAGCCTTATGTTCAATATGTTGTCTTATAAAATGGTAGTCTATCTCAATATGCTTCATGCGAGCATGGAATATCGGATTGTGTGCTAAAGAAATAACCTAAGTATTGTCACAATAGACTGGCGTAGGCTTGGATTGGGATAAGGAGAAGTCATCCAGTAAACGACGGAGCCAAAGGATATCTGATGTTGCTGAAGAAAGAGCTCTATATTCCGCTTCGGTCAAAGACTTGGCTACTGTCACTTGCTTTTTAACACACCATGAAATAAGGGTCGAACCAAGATAGTAATAGAAACCACTAACATATTTTCTATCAGCTGTACTTGATGCCTAGCCCGCATCAACAAACATTGTTAGTTTCATATTACCCGGCTGGCGGCTGCATAGGAAGACCATAGCATTTCGTTCCCTGCATGTATCTAAGCTTACACTTAATAGCTAGAAAGTCCGCATTGGTTGGGTTATGCATATGCTGACATATTTAATTGACGGAAAAAGCAATATCTTGGCGTGTTATTGTAAGATAGTTTAGTGAACCAGCTAAATGCCTATAAAGTTGAGGATCAGCAAATGGTTGTACATCCAAAGCAATTTTGGATGGTTTTAATGTGATGGGTGTAGGGACAGAGCTGCTATTTGTAAAACCTGTTGAATTTAGCAATTCTGTGGCATATTTGGTTTGATGAAGTAATATGGCATTGGGCATTCGCTTAACCTGAATACCAAGAAAGGTATCCACAGCCCCAAGTTGTTTAAGAGAAAATGTGGTCTTCAGCATAAGAAGCAACCGATCAATAGTAGAAGAATGATTACCAGTGACTAACAAGTCATCCACATAGATGAGAAGATAAAGTTGTATGGAAGACTTGCTATAAATGAGAAGCAAAGGATCGGCCTTGCTTAATGTAAATCCAAACTGATGTAGTGACTGTGTGAGCTTAGAATACCATTGGCGCGGCGCCTATTTAAGACCATAAATGGCCTTGTGAAGTCGGCAGACATGATGTAGATGTTGAGTATCAGCGAAGCTAGGAGGTTGCTTCATATAAACTTCTTCATGAAGATCTCCATGTAGAAATGCATTCGAAATTTCAAATTGTAGAGTTGGCCAATTATGATGAAGAGCAAGAAGTAGCAATAGTCTAATTGTAGGTAGCTTGGCTACCAAACTGAAAGTCTCGATGAAGTTTACTCCATGTTCTTGATCATAGCCTTGTGCTACCAGCATTGCTTTATATCGATCAATTTGCCCATCATGTTTTATTTTTAATTTGAAAATCCATTTGCATCCTAAGATTGGTTTGTTGAGAGGTGGGGATTGCAGACTCCAAGTGCCTTATTTCTGAAGTGCAAGAAATTCATCTGACATAGCTTTTCTCCAACACTCATATTTGAGTGCTTGATTATAGGAGGTAGGAGTGAAAAGAGAAAATGGAACCGCAAGCAGATCAAAGATAATTTTAGGCTTTTGGTGTCCAGTTTTCTTTCTTGTTTGCATGGGGTGACTCGAAACTAGAGGTGCTAAAGTTTCTGATGCAAAAAATGAAGGTTGCAAAACAGTTGAAGGAGAACTTGGACGTGGAGATTCTTGAGGAGATAGAGGTGAAGAGGTTGAACTTATTTGTTGAGTCTGTTGCTGTATAGGGAGAGGTAATGGTTGGGTTAAGATCAGTTGATTTGGGATAGAAATTGGTGTGAGTAGAAGTGGATTTTGAGGTTAATTTGTGGATATAATTGTTGATGTAGGTAGTTTGGAGGAATATGGAAAAATGTGTTCATAAACAATAACATGACGTGAAATAAGAATCTTATTTGTGTGGATATTTAGACAACGATAGCCCTTGTGCATAGAATAGTAACCTAGAAAAATACACTCCTGGGAGCGTGGCAATAATTTATTTTTGAACGTGGGTTAAAGCCAAGGAAAGCACAAGCAATCAAAGGTTTTTAGATGCGTGTAGGACGGAAGTTTATGATGTAGAAGTTGATACGGAATGTGAAAATTACGAGCTTTGGTGGGTAGAATATTAATGAGATAATTAGACGTCATGAGAGCTTCATCCCAAAATTTGTGAGGAAGATGCGAGGCATGAAGGAGAGCATGTGTAGAATCAAGGAGATGATGATGCCTGAGTTTAGCAAGAACATTTTGCTCGGGAGTGTAAGAACAACTGAACTTATAAGTTTTTCCGTGCTGCAATAAAATTTTTGAAAGGGATGACTTGTATATTCACCTCCCCCATCAGTTCAAATTGTTTGAATGGAAGTATTAAAGGAATTTTTTATAAGTTGAAAGGAATGTTTGAATTTTAAGAAAACCTCATCCTTGGAATGCAACAGATAAATCCAAGTGTAGGGCTTATTATCATCTATAAAAACAATGTAACAATGAAAGCCAAGAAGGGAAGAAATGGGTGTTGGCCCACAAACATCTGAATGTGTTAATTGAAAAGATTTAATTAAGTACATTGCTTTGAGATAAAGAAAAGGGTAGTTTGTGACTCTTGGCCACATTACAAGAAGTACATAAGAAAGTAGTAGAATGAGGACATGTAGAAGGTACTAAAGTAGCTAAAATTCTTAAAGTACTAATATTTGGATGACCAAGTCGAGCATGCCAAGGTTTAAGAGATCGAACAGTGGAGTGAAGAGCTTGCAGATAATTGTTGGACTTGGTTTGAAGCGGATAGAGTCCATCTTGAGATCGGCCACAAAGAATGACACTATTGTCTGAAAGGTCCTTGATAAGAAAGCCATGAGCATCAAACAAAATTGAAAAATTATTGCTAGATGTCAATTTGTGAATGGAAAGTAAATTGTGGGAGAGCAAAGGAACATGAAGCAAAATCTTGAGACGAAGCTTACGATTTGCATCAGGGAGTGGAAGAATTCCTTGCCCTGATTGATGTATAGGAAGAGTTTCACCACTTGCAATGGAGACAGAATCAGTTCCCACATAAGGAGTAGGTTCATGTAGTTGATTAGCATCAGATGTGAGATGGGAAGAGGCACCGAAGTCCAACACCCATTCTGTAATTGAGGAAGTCACCGAACTGTTTGAGTTCATGAGAAATACCCAATGATTTGAGCTAGAGGTGGTATGTACATACTGCATATTGCAGCGATGCCAACAGTTAAGAGCAACATATCCAATCTAGTCGCAAATCTAATATGTCGACGGACACTGGGCAAATTCGGAACACGAACAGTGGAACTTGGTGCAGCCTGAGAATTGTTGAAAATTGTTCTAGAGTTATTTGTTCTGAAGGGAGCTCCTCTGCCTCTACCCCGCGAAGTAGATCTTCCACGAGTTGTGTTAGAACGGTTCGTCCATAGAGCAGAGTGTTCCAAAGGAAGTTGAGTATCCTTTTGCTGTTCATTCAGCAAGTTAATTTCTTCAATGCACAAAAATGAGTACAAAGTATCCAAGCTAATAGTCTGCTGAGTAGTGCGAATGGCAGATTTAAACGAATTGTAAATGAAAGGCAGTCCATTTAAAGTATGTAAAATAACATCTTCAAAATCTATGTGACCTCCCGAAGCAGTTATATTAACTACTAGTGCTTTAATTTGAGCTAAATATTGTGTCATTGTAAGCTCTTTCATCTGAATGTGGTGCAATTGATTTTGAGTTGAATCACACATGACCGATTCGTCGATTGGAGGCATTTTTCAAGTGTTATCCAGATCTCATGAGCAGTAGATAATGAAAGTATATATGGCAGCCCATAAGTAGAAATAGTAAACATCAATGTCGAGACTAAGTTTTGATCTACTAGTTTCCAGAGATGCAGATCCTACGAATCGGATCCAGTCAGAGATGCTGCTAGTGGAGACATGCTTCCAGTAAAGTAAACCTCAAAACTGTTTGCAAAAAACAACTTAAAAACTTGAAGACGCCAAATAG